ATCTTTCCTCTAAAGTGAATGTTCTCACTTATTGTAAATCCTTTAGCAAGATGCCTTCTCCTTGGATCTCAATTTTCTTGGTAATTATTTTACCTTTAGGAATCACTCATAAGCCTCTACGAATGACTTTGGAAAATTAGGCTTGTGAGAGCCTCCATTCGATGAGAACACTGACCCTAATTTTCTAGAGAGAGAAAATATATTTATTTTTTCTTCTTCCAAAAGTCACCCCTAAAATATACATATACCATGTATATTTATAGGCAACATAAGATAAGGAAAAAGAAATAACAAATTCTTCTCAATCTCTAATTACACATATCTCAAATCTAATAAGATTTTAATATCAAGTTGAGCTATGAGTAAGAATCCTTTGGACTTATTATTTTATTAACTACAATGAATTAATAATTGGCCCGGTCCATTGACCCAATTCAATTAATTCATTAATTAATTTCTACTCCACTAAAAGAAATTAATTGAACTCCAATTAAATAATAAATAACTTCTAAGTCAATGTTGCACTTTGACCCCTCTATGCATAATTAGTTATCGGATAAATAAAGCCATCAATCCGACTACTTAATTAATATATTTATTTTGGTACCTTTGATTATTTCTGACTTGATCACAATAAAACATTTGTTTGACAAAAATAATAATTTAAATAAATAAATATATAATAAATCATTTTGTCTAAAAATACACGAAGGCCTTCGAATTTACTTTGTGATCAATCATAATCAATACAAAATAAATACAAGTAGCAATAATGCAAATATTGAAAATATAACCCTCTAACTATTAATTACATAACTATCCAAAGTGTCGGTCTAAGGATCCCGAAGTATCCGCCGAACAAATCAAAATAATTATCAATTAATAAAGAGTTTATACTTTTCTCATACTTAAGAGTCAAATGCCATGACGGTGATAGGGAGCAATTGCATACGACGGCTCCCGCAATATATCTCAACTTAACGCGAATCCAATTCAAGTCTTAATTAATCATGAGTCCATCCATAATTACCGACTATGAACAATTTATGATTACTATTTATATTCATGTATTGATCGCCATCACATATATATATAAATATCTCTTGTAATCAAGTGGACACTATCAATTCTATAATGAATCGAAACATAATACATTGAATTCACCAATTGTATAAAGCATAAATATTTCAGAAACGTCAGGAACATATGTCACTATAATCCAAATAAGAATTTGTTATGCCAGGGCATATAAATCCCAACAATTACTACTCAAGAAAGTGTTGTGCAAGACTCTCAATTTTTTTTTTTTTTTTTTTTTTGACTCCTCACTCACTTTGAACTTGTTGATTATAAATGAGAGCTCCTATCTATGTATAGGCATACTCTCTATGATGGACGGCTAAGATGTGTTATAATCTACGATTGAAATCACTTCTCTGTAATTATTTTCTAAAATGTCTTCCATTCAACATTATTCTATTCATTATTACTAAATTCTAGTATTCTTTACACGATTCCGGAATTCAACATACTACTCTGAAACACTCTAGACTCAAAACTCTCTAGAATGGATAAAAACCTTAAATGGATACAACAATATGGCAATGGAAAGTTGAAATAGTTGAGATACAAATTTGTTAAGTAACATTAACTAGTTAGATAAAATGATTATACTAAACCAGTACATAAATATTTTGACTCGCATTCAGTTCAACTTTTCACAAAGGTGGAGGAGGGTAATTTACCTCTCTTATTAAACACCATTATGCTTTGAACTTGTCTTTAATTTACCTCCTGTTTTTAGAAATTGTAAGGTAAAAATATGTAATTTGATAAATGCAAAGTGGACAAGGATTTCTCCTCTATTCTAAAGAGGCAAGGGTAAAAGTAAAATAAAAAATACAGGTTACAAACTCAATTACATGGAAAATACGACATGAAGTGCGCCTCTTTTAGTTAACAAGAATTTTAAAAAAGAAATGATATTCATTACAAAAACAGAAGGGTAACATATATAACATTAGCACTTACACGTCCCAAAGAGGACTAAATGAACACAATAAGGCACAATTTTGAAAACCCATGGATTTCAAACATCAAATGAAAAAAAATATTTTTTAGAGTTGAGTATATAAGATAATGCTATTAACAAAAATTATGAGAAGAAAATATAGCACATATTATTAGACAATATCTATACGATGTGGCAGATTCAGTGTGGACACTGATCTTAAGAAGGGGTGATTGTGAAGTCTTATATCCCCCGGAACTTATACATGTGGGAGCCTGGTTGTGACAATAGCTGAGCTGTTTTGCCCTCCCTTTTAACAAATAAATTCTAATTTTGCTCTTATCACGCGCAAAACAAAAACAATCAATTTTTTTCCCTTTCTACTAACCTTTTGTAAGGAGTGGGCGCTTGCCCATTTACCCAAAAGCTCGAACTGTTAGGTAAGATTGCATACCCACCCATTTATACCCAATCTCTTTCCCATCCGATTCCGATGTGGGACAAAATGACCCTTGTTACATTCTTCCCCACCCAAACTCGCAACGCCCTCGTTACGGTTGGGTCACCCTGCCTACCCGGGTGGACTCACCCGGACGCCTTCCGGGCCGGGCGCTTGGCGTGGCACCGGATCAAGGACTAAGTTTGGCTCTGATACCAACTGTAACGGGTGGGCGCTTGCCCATTTACCCAAAAGCTCGAACTGTTAGGTAAGGTTGCATACCCACCCATTTATACCCAATCTCTTTCCCATCCGATTTCAATGTGGGACAAAATAACCCTTGTTACACCTTTATATAAGGACCCGTTTAGCATGCACTTTATTTTAAATATTTTGTTTTGGTTAAAATAAAAATAATATTTTTGTTTTACGAGTGTTTTGAAAAATAATTGGAAGCACGTTTAGTTCTGTAAAAACGAAGACATAAACGGCTACTATTATGGTTTTGGATTATAAACCATTGTCAAAATAAGAAAAAAAAATAATTTTTTAGTATTTTAGTTTTGGACCACTATTCATGAAGTGTTTTAGCACCATATAAAATAAAACAAGGTTGTACCAAACATGCTTTGTTGCCAAAATCGACATTGTAACAATCCAAAAAATAAAAATTACAAAAACAAAACGCATACTAAACGGGACCTAAACTTACATGGTTTAAATTATATTTTCCTTTCTTTGCCTTCTCTAATCCTTTTATATGTTTGAGTAAAGCATAATAACCTCCGGAGAGTTGGGGTAAGGACATATAAATATAAATTGGCCTATTTTTGAACAATGACATCGGCAATGGTGAATTGACGCCTTTGACACATTAAATTATCAATTTAAACAATACAACCATTTTCAATTGACATAACTACCCTTTGATCAAATAGGTGTAAATGGTTATACCGGGTATAACCCATCTGAAAAACCCATTTTTTTATCTCTCCTCTCTCTTCTTTCTCCTACCCCTAACCCTAACCCTAATCCAAACAAGCCGCCACTGGCCCACTGCCTCTCCCTCAAACCCGCCATCATCTCCATCCTCAAAACCACCCACCACTGTGTATTCACTACCGCCGCCGCCACGACGATGAAGGAGTGTCCACTGCCACTACGACGATGAAAAAGCCACCGTCGCCAGCAAAAAAATGGAGGCCGATCAAATCCGCAAGCACGGATCGACCGCAACAGTGCCCCCCGCAACGGTTCTGGCGAGCAAGAGTGAACGACGGTGAGGAGGCGAGCACGATTTCTGAGGGATCTTTGGGGTTCGATCACGAGCAAGGGTCGCCGGAGTAACATGGAGGTACAGATTGAAGAACTGAGATGAGTCGCCGGAACTGAAACTGAAGGTTACTGAAGCTTTCCGTGAGGTACTTTGGTAACGCGCAGTAGGGTTTCCATTTGCAAGGTATGCTGGGTCGGAGGCTGTTTCAGGTCCAACAACTGATGGAGGTGGAGGAGGCCGTTAACGACGGCGTCGGCGTTATGTCGATGTCTTTCGGTGGCGGGATGGGTTGCAATCGTCGCCTTCGCCATCGCCATTCCCCACCACACAACCACCACAGCCATCATCCTTGTCAACAACCGTTATCCCCATAGTCGACAACCATCGCCACCATCCCCATAGTCGACAATCACCGCCACCCATAGCAGACAACCACCGTCGCCATCCCCATAGTTATGGTGATTTAGAGCAGAGATAGACGAAATTGGGTTTTTGGAGTTCAGATTGGGAGCAGTGTTATAAGATTATATTAGTGCACATATGTTTTATGACGTGGCATGGTCTGGTTATTTTTGTCCAAACAAATTTGGATATAATATATATATATACATACATATATACAGGAAAAGGGTAATTCGGTCCTCTAATTATTTTGATATCTTATCATTAAAATTAATCAAATAATGAAAACTAAAGTAGACTTTTCACATATTTTTAAACTTTGTTTAGATTGCAAACCTTATTGGGTTGTCCAAAAATAAACGAACTGTCAGTTTGACTTGTAATTCTGAGGAGTTGTAATTATGAGAACGGTTCTTAAAAATTCTGAAAACAAAAAAAATTATTTTAAAAGAATTATAAAAAACAGACCTTTTTTTAACTAGTTTTTTTAGAAAACACAACAATATTCTGATTTTCAATTTTAAAAACAAAAAACTAATTTCTGGAGTTAAAAAGATAAGCATGCCCCTTTTTTGTTGTCATATGGACGCATTTTCAACATATACTTTCTCTCGACCAAAAAAACAAACAGAAAATGTAGTAGTTTAGTATTGTCTGGCCTCTCAAACCCTCTATTATAAAGAGATTGAGATACAAAAAGGGCAATATTACTCATATGCGCACAAACATTTAAAAACTAAAAATTGTTGGGGAAAAACTGTCATGATATATCATTCAGCTGTTGGATTGGGATTGAGGGAAATTGCCCCGTCTCTCAATCCAATTGTTAAGGCAGCACACTCATGAATTCAACAGTTGAGACACAACCAGAATCATCGCACTTCTTTGAAGTACCATTAGATATCAACATATACATTTCAGCAAAACATTGAAAATAGTGGCCTACTAGAGAAGTTAACAAGGAAACAGAAATCAAAGTAGCAATCTCATGCCAATACAAGAAGCACAACCAACCTTACCATTACAAATTATTAATTACAGTTCCATTTGCCTAATTATTCACTCCAAAAACACTTCAGACTGCCATAGAGTACCAAAATAGAAGGCTAAAGAGCGATGAGGTTGGGGGCAGTCTGGGGAGGGTTAGTGAGCATGTGAACCACTTCCCTCATGGTGGGTCTTGAGGCGCTCTCATCCTCGACGCACATCATGGCAATCTTGAACAGATTTACGACACTGGTAAGTGGGTACCCAGTGAGCCTGTGGTCCACAACTGCAAGCACCGATGCTGCATCAGACGGCTGGGAGAGTTCTGATATCGTCTTCCTCACCCACCTCACTATGTCCACACCATCCCCGAACTCGCCCACTGGCTTCCGCCCTGCTACCAGCTCCAACAGCACAACACCAAAGCTGTAGACGTCGCTTTTCTCATCCACTTTCAGTGTGTAGGCATACTCTGTTTGTAATCACAGCAGACATAGAGATCACACTTTATATCAAGTTTCATGTAACATTCAAAACATTTGAATTTAAAAAGCAAGTTCCAAAAAAATTATTCTAGTAACAAGAAAATCTATATCAGGACGACTCGTCTCACACTTCACGAATCAGAGACTAATACTAACTACCAGTGAGCTTCTTAAGAGCTCCCTCATCATAGTAACAAGAAAATCTATATCAGGAAAACTCACTCCGCACTTTTTAAGTATCAGGAGATTAATACTAACAGCTAGTGAGCTGCGAGCTTAGTAAGAGCACCCCATCATAGTAACAAAATCTAATAATTGCCAACATCAACTGCTAGATTGTTGTGAGCCTAGTAAAAGAATCCTCATCATAGACTCCTTTTCGTAATACCTAATACCATAAAATCCAATCACTTCTAATGAGATTTTAAAACAATATAATTTAGAAAAAAACAATCACAGGCTCACAAATAAAACTTGTACTTTCATACTCACTCTGAAACCTGTCTCTCAGTTCAACAAATGAGGATGAGAGCTCACACTAATCCAATTCCATTTCATTTTAATCCTACAAAAGTCCTTTAATTCATTATGTACTTACTAGAAATCTATTTAAATCCAATTCCCATTTCAAATTCTCCAACTCTATGAAGCAAGAAGTCATCATGTTTAGTTTCATTGAATTTAGAGACATGTTGTGTCTCAATCCAAAGACAGAGCACTCTGGTGGACATCCCCTTCTGTTAATCTCAATTTAAAATCCAATTCCTAGTAAATACCATTATTCAAAACACTGCTTAAATAAATAATATTGTCTCCCAAAGTCAATGCACAGAAATGGACATCCATGGAAAACAATAAGTAGTAATTGATTACTCTCACCTGGTGCAATGTAACCATACGAGCCAGCAACGGAGGACATGCACTCGGAGGCACCTGCGTCCTGCAAGAACTTGGCGAGCCCAAAATCGGCCACATGAGCCTCAAAATCCGAATCAAGCAATATATTGTTGGACTTCACATCCCTATGTATGATCAGAGGCGAACAGTCATGGTGTAGATAACACAGGCCCTTCGCAGCCTCCACCGCGATCCTGTACCTCATCTCCCACTGCAAGTGAGACCCTTTCGAACCATGCAGCATCTCTCCAAGACTCCCATTAGGCATGTACTCGTACAGCAACAAGTTTGTGTCTTTATTAGACACATACCCCAGCAACCTCACAATATTCCTATGCCGGATTCTTCCCAAAGTCTGAATTTCGGCCGAGAAACCATGATCATTCCGTCCACTACCCCGACCAACCAACCGTTTGATCGCGACCTCAACCCCAATTGCCATGGACCCGCGGTAGACAATCCCAGCACCACCTTTACCAATGATGTACTCGTCTTTCAAGCACTCAAGAACGTCCTCGGCTTTGAAATCGAGCCGTTGAAATGCCGTGAGCTTCCAAGCTTTTGATCTCTGAAGTCTCTTCTTTCTAATCCTCATCAATGTAACAACCAATAACAATGCCACAGTAACGAGAATGATTGTGGTGATGATGAGTTTCGACGTACCAAACGACGTCCGATGAGATTTGTGAGAGGATTGAGCTGTAGTCTGAATAGAGGGGCAAATCTGATGGCGTGAGAAACAGAGATTCGGATTTCCGGCGAAATACTTGCCGTCGAAGTTTCTTAACTGCCCGCCGATTGGACGCCGGCCAGAGAAGTTGTTAACAGAAAGGTCTAGGATTGTCAGGCTTGTCATTAATCCCATTTCATTAGGTATTTGACCGCTCAGTTGGTTCATTGACAAATTGAGAGCGTTCAAGTCATGGAGCCTAGAAATTTCTTTAGGTATTTCACCTTCTAAACTGTTCCGACTCAAATCAATTGAGTTTAGTTTTGTACAGTGTGCAATTGTGGCCGGAATTTCACCGGTGATGCTGTTTGCACTGATGTTTATGGTAGTAAGCATCTTTAGATTGGAGATTTCCTTGGGAATTTCACCGGAAAATCGATTCATTTCGAGTGAGAGAGTGATTAAGCTTACCAGATTTCCGATCGCCGGAGGTATTTCTCCGGCGATCCTATTGTTTGACAACGTGAGACTTGCGAGTGATCTGGCAGAAACCTCCGTCGGGAGTCCGCCGGTGAAGTAGTTGTCTCTGAGCTCGAGTTGTTCCAATAATGGCAAGTTGAAGAAGCCAGAAGGAACAGTGCCGTTGAAGAAGTTCTTCATGATACGTACTTTAACCAATGACTTGCACTCACCGAGTTCTTCAGGAATCGGTCCGAAGAAGTAGTTCTCCATCAGAATCAACATCTTCAATCTCCCTCCTCTGCACAAATCGTGAGGAATTGTTCCGGTGAGGTGGTTTAACGAGACGTCGAGTAGCAATAGCCTCCCGTTCCGGCCGAGATTTTCCGGCAATTCGAACGTGAAGTTGTTCCCCCAAATCTGTAACACCTCGAGGTTCGGAAGATCGCCGATGAACGACGGAATGCGACCGTAGAGATGGTTGGTGAACAGGTTGAGCAGCGTCAGATTCTTCAACTCCGAGAAGCTTGGCGGAATTTCTCCGGTGAGTTCGTTGATGGAGAGATCGAGTGACATCAAGCTGACCAAACCGGACAGCTCCGACGGAATGTGACCGGTGAGGTTATTGATTTGCAGAAACAAAGTGTGTAACATCTTCAAATTGCTCAGACTCGTCGGAATCTCGCCGGTGAGGTTACAACTTCCGAGATCAAGGATTCGGAGCGAGCTCAACAACCCCAACTCTGGCGGAATACCTCCGGAGTATTGATTCCAGTAGCCGATGTATAGTTCTTGAAGGTTGGATAACCGAGACAAACTAACCGGAATCTTTCCGGTGAGCCAATTACCCTGCAAAGCTAAGATTTGCAAGCTCGGAAACTCAGAGTAGGCTTCCGGAATCACTCCGTTGAAATAGTTCCCGCCTAGCTGAAGAGTTCTGAGATTTTTCAGCTTCACGAAATCCTCCGGGAGGTTTCCTCTGAAGTTGTTGTTGTAAAAGTCGACCACTTCAAGCTCCGTCATCGTGACCACCATATTTCCAGGGAACTCACCGGAGAAGGCGTTATTAGAGAGATTGAGGAACTTGATTGAGGTGAGGTTGGACATCTCCATCGGAAGCTTACCGGTGAGATTGTCGGAGGTGAGAGTGAGATTGACGAGCTTGTCCAAAAGCCCTATCTCCGGCGGGATGGTGCCGAAGAGAGGAACGTTGGAGACGTTTAGAGAGATGACTCGTGACTCGTCATCGCACAAAACTCCAGAGAACAAACAATGCGAATTAGACGAGTCGTCGTCTTGCCAATCATGGAGTCCAGAACCAGTTGGTCCGATCATGGAGGCTTTGAGCTTCAACAACGCTTGAAGATCTGAAAACCCATCAGAAGAGGAGGAGTAGAAGAGGAGAAAAACAGAGAAAATGTGAAGTGGAAGAAGAAGATAACTGAAATGTTTTCTCATCATCTCTGCGATTTCACTGTTGCTTCAGAGATGAACCGAGTACCATAGAGACTTGGCAGCCCAAATAAGTACTACTGGTGCTGCATTGTGGACTAGTGAAGAGAATCGAACACTCTAAGCATCAAACTTCAATGAATAAACTAAAACAACCAAGGAGATATAGAGAGAGAAAGATATTTCTAGAGAGAGAATGAGTGGCAACTGGCAAGTCTTTGGCTCTGCGATTCGGCAAGACTCGCATGATACGGAGAGTTGACGATGTTTGTATTTTCTTGGCCAACAAAAACTCTCTACTAAAATATAAAAACAAAAAAATTGTAGAATATTCATATATATTATTTTTAGTACTTTATATAAATTTCACTTTCCTCATATAAAAATTGTTAATAATTCACATTTACCTTGTTATATTTCATAATTTCAGTTATCTTTCATAAAATTTTAATTTATGTAATATATATTTTCTATGTTACACTAGATAGAGGTAAACAAAATCCGTTAGATATCATCATAAAAAAAAATAAATAGAAGTTCAATTTTACTCTTTTAATACCTAAAATGACATTTAAGATTTCATGAATAAAAAGGTAAAATAATACACTACCATTATTAAATAGGATTATAGTCACTTAAAGAGCAAATAAACCAAATTATAAAACATAGATGGCATTTATGTGAAATATTGACAATTTTTTAGCAACCGACACTTTTAATTTACAAAAAATTACACATCATTGAAGTAATCTTATGCATGTGATACATGAGCCAATTGTTTAGACAAAAATATGATCATTTTATTTTTTAAAATTAATTTAAAAATGGAAAAATTGAGGGCATTTGTTGCATGTGTGTAGGAGTATCTTTTACCACAATAATGTGACTCTCGTGACAATTTTAACACTGGAATTTCAAGGATAATTTGTAATTTTTTATAAAATGAAAGAATTTGTTGCAAAAAGTAATAATACTAATAAATTATGAGCAAGAACTCATAACTTTTAGACAGTGCTACCGTTATATAATTAACGGAGTTAAGGGTACATAACATAGGTGGTGTCGTGATAGCACTGGTCCTATGCCTAGTGTGATAGTACTTATCTGAGAAGTCTGAGTTTTGACGGCGTGATATGGCGGTTTGAATGACAGGCTCATCATAGTCCCGTTGTATTTTGGTCTCGTGTCAAATCTGCCAGTGATAAAGCTGACGTGGCTTTTCTCTGTGTTATCTTAGGTGAGACGGTGTCGTTATTGTTTCTGGTTTTGTTTTCTCTCTCTCTCTCTCTAACTTTTGGGTTCTTCAAATCTCAATGTCGATGCTGTCCTTTTCGAGAACTGATACCATAATGGGGCTTTTAAGCGGGCTCAGTTTTGCTGCTGCCCCAGTAAACTGCTGTTCTTTCTGGTTCCACGCTGGCCCAATTAATCACATTATATCTAATTTATTTATTTATATATTTTTTTTTTCAGAAACATTATATCTAACTTTAACCCTCCTAAATTCACCAAGTAAAGTACAAAAAGATCCTTTCAACTATATTTGAATTTATAAATAATTTTTATTTAAATAAATTATAAAAAAATTTATATTAATTTGATGAGATATTTTTTATTAAATTTGCATAAATTTACCTTTAATTTTTTAAATTAATTATTTAAATAAAAAAATTTAGTAGAATTTTTTTAGTTTTAATGAAAATATTACATAGGAAGAAGGTATTTTTACCAAAAGTATTTTTTTAATTTTTCATCAATATATTGTATAAAAAAGATAATATTTTTTTTCGATAAAAATGTTTAAATTAGTTATAATACTTTTTATTATAAATAATAAAATTTTAATAATAAGTTAATCAATTTAGGAAAAGGTAGTTACAAATCTATTTATCTATTATTTTTTTTATTTTTATGATAAGTTGATAGTAATAATAAAATTAAGATAAATAGTATAATTAATATTTACATAAGTGAAAAGATAATAAAAATAATTTAATAAGAAATAAAATTTTTATTAAGAAATAATAAAATAATCTTTTGTGATAAATTTGTCCTTAATTATAATAAATTAATAATTTAAGAGAACAGTTTTTAGTTTAGTGGATTATTTGTAAAAAAATAATAATTTTTTATTTATTTATTTACACTTAACTTTTATTATTATTATAAAAAAATATATTTGGAGTGGTCAAAAGTTTTTATGAATCATATTTTCTTACGTTTCTTAAGATGTATTCCTAAGACAGAAGAGGTGAAGAAGGGGAAGAAAGTGAATTGTAGATACACGTAGCCCATATCGGAGGGTAGTTGGGCCCAGAGGAAAGGCTGTCTCTGTCTTTTCCCAAGCAGACACTTTTTCCCTCCTGACTCGATTTGGCTGTGAGTAAAAAGTCTACTTCACTTTTTGTTTTCTTCTTCTACTTCCACCATTTGGGCTCACACAGCTGTGGGCCCCCTCTGCACACTGCCATTACTATCTTTGTTCACTAGTTAGAGAGACCATTTGCTAGATATGTCCTCCACTCATACAATGAGGTTCAAATCTAAGTCCTGTGAAGGTCAAGTGAGACCAATTACCACCATACAAGACCACTCACATCCAACTCTTTAATTGAAAGTTCAAATCCAAACAACGAAAGCTAAGGGCCTGTTTGGCAGATGTTTCTGCTTCGTCGTCTGTTTTTTCCCACCCAATTTTTGACATTATATTGTATCAAAACAAAAGCACAAAATATATTTGATAACATTTAATACGAATACAATTGAAACAACAGTTTCTTTAAAAAATGTTTTAATATTGTCTGACATCGTAATCTAATAATATTTCTTCTTCTTCTTACACTTGTGAGTGTTTAATTTAATGATTAATACTTAAGTCCTCACCAGCTAAATTACATAATTTTTCTTAATGGGTGTCGCTCTCACGATCCGAGCATGCTCCCGCTCTCAGTGTGATTTAAATTTTGTCGTTTTCACGCTTCCGCTCTCGAATTCGCTCTCGCTTTCGCTTTATATGACTTAGCTCACCAGTAAAGATATATACTATTCTCATTATTGATGTGGAACAATAATAAATAAATATATTCTCTTTAATTATCAAATCAGAGATGGTGAAATACATATTCACTAACCAAATCAGAAATGACTAGTATATACACCACTTATGATTTAGTAATGAAAAAAGACGTGTTAATTTGTTAGTGGTTCACATCAACAACAAGGACCGATGGCAATGTACATCCTCACTTATGAGGCGCTAAATATAATTTAATAAGAGTTTAACCATGTATAAAAATAAATGAGTAATATATATATATATATATATATTATCAAACAATTGGTAACAAAATCCGAAATGATTTAACATTTAAAATTCATATGATACTTGGAATCCATTCCTTCATGCCATGACACAACTAAGACAGATAGTGGACTTCTAATTTATAATATTTACTAATATGGAGAATAGATACTTTCAACTCTTGGACAAAAGTAGCTTTATGAGCAACATTTTTGTGCCAAAAAAAAGAAAAATACAATTGAATGGACATCAAATCATGGTTAGTGGATTAATAAGAATTTGAAAGCCACACATGCAAGTTGTACCACCACAAAAATGGGCATTTATTCCTTTTACCATCAATATTAATCCACTATGACAAAGAACATATTCACATTCTCATCTAGAAAGTGTAGTTAGTGGATGGAGAATTGTGAATTAGAATCTCAAGTGAGTGATATAAAACATAAAGATTCTTATAGCTTTCAAGGCGACAAATCTATTTTATTTATTTATTTTTTCTCCCAAACAACAAATCTAGGGTTTGGATGGTTGAATTTTGGCAGCTATTGCATCATGTGAAAAAGAGAGAGAACCTCTTTATTTGTGGCTATGGATGCTTCAAGTTGGATGTGTGTGGCATAGAACAAGACGTGACATATAAATGCTTCAAACTTTTCAATGTCAACCCATCTATCAATATTTAAGTACACGCCACAATGATGATTTGCATTACTCAAATAATATCACAATCAGGTGATAATAATATATGGGAAGAATGAAGGGCAAGGAAGGGAGGAGGAAAACCTCTTCTCTCAAATCTCACCTTCTTTTCCTTGCAAAAGTGAAAGGAAATGGAAAGAAGGGAAAGGGCACCATATTCCCATCCTTATTCTATTTGTACCCTTCTAAAATAGCCCCCCACCTTTTCTCTAATTATGAAAAACGTACTTAATGGTCAAATCATGCAATAATCATTGGATTTCTTTCTAATCAACCAAACATCACACATAAAATTTCTCTCTTTTTCCTTTCCCAAGACACCCTTTCATTTCTCTTACCTACTATATTTTCTGTCTTTTCTAAGATACCCTTTCATTTCTCTTACCTCCTAGTCCCTCCAATTTTCACGCACAGTAAAAGCCATCAAATTTCCTTTTTTAAAAAAATATATAGAAAAAATAATAATAAAAAAACTTTCATTAGGCTTTCCTTCTATTCCTTGCAATTCTCACTTAGTTGTAGTATCATCCTAGTTATCATTATTTTTGCATTTATTCCACGGGTCAAATCTCAAGCACAGTAGTCATCAAACTCTCATATTTTTAAAAGAAAAATTAGATGAAAAAATATATATATGATTGAAATATGGTTTTTATTCTGCTTTATAAGATGATAAAAGTGTTTGACTATTTGTAGAGGTTCTATTCCGACAGAGAATAGCTAGAAAGGGCTATTGGCAATTGATATATCCAATCAGAAATACATTCAAACTGGCCAAAACACAAAATGGAGACCATATCAAATAGGATGAGATAGACTTTTTCTTCACATAGATTAGAATTTCCGCTTTTGCTAATATAAAGCAACTTTCTAAGGACAATTTAGTTAATGCTAAAAAGTCCACAGGCCAATTTGCTTTTACTTACGCAACTCTTCTTTTATTTTTTTCTCAATAAGATGGATACATGGATAATATAATAGGGGCAGAAAAGAAAAGAAAAAAAGTTCTTATAAAATTTCTCATTTATATCTTAAAAGTATGTTAACTATATATTATTAAGACTTAAACATTGACAAGTCACACACCCAATTTTCTTGCCCTCAAGGGGATGGATTAGTTATACATGTTACGAAAATATTGTCAAAGTAGGACAGAACATCACAACATTTTTGAAAGATACATGACATTGTTTCAACGGAGATGATTTTAGTCCCTTGGAGACTTGAACCAATATCAGTTAGGTTAAACCACGCTCTCCCACGAATTTGTAAGAAAGCACGAAGAGTCGTTTATTATCTTCGACTCTTCCGCTTATAAAATGCAAATTCTAAAACACAAAAGATTGTTTGCTGACATTTAGAAATGTAATTAAAACCACTAGAGCGCGCCATGAAACACTAAAACCTTATATAATAAGGGCTATATATGCTGTGTATGTAATGTGTGAAAATTACATGTCTAACTGTGCCCAAATCGGTTCAGCTTAGTCATTCTAACCATCCTGCCAAGTCATAAATCAATGCTTTAACAAAAGCTTTCAAAACTAACAAAACAAAATGTCTTGAATTTCAAATTACTTTTACCAATAGGTGAAAAGCTTCAATGCTGTACGAATTAAGCTTCTGCCCCCCATACTTAAAAGTCATAGCCAGCTTTGTCTCTCAACATCTACTGGGGCCCCATGCTACAGACAAATATTGGGTATGATTGAAATTTCAAGAATAATAAGCCTCAACTCTATGCTTCAAAGGTAGTAATTTTTGAATGAAACCTATCAACAACATAATGTCCAATTCATGAAATACTGTCAACTCATTAAAATGTTAGTAATACACATCTGAAAATCTCAAAAGAGTTTCAGCAGACAATTCTTGTTGCAGCTGCTTAGCAAGAGGCAACTGTGAAATATGTGAGGCAGGCAGGAGGGGCCAACTCACCCAATAATTTGATTGAAATGTCTAATACAACATGAACTTCCCGCTGGAACAGAACTAAAAAAGAAAATAGAATTATCCTCAGCAGAAGAAAGAGGGGGAGGGGGAGGGGGGGCCTGTGCTAGTACAACTATAAAAAATAATAAAATAATAAAAAAAACATCAGAATCTGAACTCGGGTTCAATGTCCATTGCCCATGCAAACTTCGCCAAAAGTGACTTGTTGAATATCTGCAAAGAAGGGGGAATAATAGGCATTAACGGAAGAGAATTTGAGAGAAGGTACCTAAAAACTATTTGCAAACTATTACCTTCTCAATGGGAACTTCATGTCGCTTGCACCATGCAACTGTGATTCTAGGATCAAGGTAGTTGATCTTTGATGTGCCCAATGCCACAGTTTTCAGATTCTCTTTGGTCTCCTTATCCCGCTCCATTTTTTCAATCTTTGTGTTGTTTTGAGCTATCTTCCTCTCTAACCTGTATATAATATTTACCGTTAGCAACAAGACAGTAATCCATTAAAAGGCTACGTTAGGCATGAACAAGGATGCTATAAAGCTATTACGCTTCAGGGGTCAAGTTCTTCTTTGGCTTCCCATCAGCGTTCTTCAATGGAGGCTTCCCTTTCTTTGCCCGAGCCAAATCTGTTTGCAACTCATCCAGTATGCCCTACAGACAAGAAACAGATTAAGAACCATGAAACAAAACATTATCACAAGACTCGAGAAAGTATTAAGGATGTTCACTACAAGTATGCTCAAGTACATACAGGTTTGCCTTACTATTCAGATCCTTGGAGGCAACACACCCATGTGAGAACACATGCATACAAATGTGCACGTAGAACCCAGACAGTGTAAAAACTAATGAATGCTTCAAACTCAATCACGAGATACAACATCACTCTCCCAAGTATCAGCAACCAAACTAGATTCCAGAAATGATCATTACCTTTAGTTCGTCTATCTTCTCATTCAACCTCGTCATTTGTGCAGAATGAGACTTCGAGACACTACGTTGATGATTACAAATGATTGCAACCTGCAGAAAGGCGAAATTGAACTTTCCAAAAACAAATTGAAATGAACACAATGACTGGTTAATAAAATCCTTTTACCAATGGACGTATTTTACCTCCTTGTTTGCATGCTGATAAAGTACAACTTTCTCAGCAACATCTCCACCATTTGTTTCACTGCTCAACTGTCATCATCCCGAACAAATTTTAAAGAACAGATATAAGAGGAAATTCTAACAAAAACATCCAATTAAAGGGAAACAATAAAATAGAAGACGGAGGACTAATGAGGGATTAAACATTGAAAGAAGCAGAGGAATTGTCTCTCATTAACACTTTCTTCCACCTGAAACACAAAACTAGTGTTCCAGTATCATAACATGTTAACAGTCCTTTCTTTTACTTCAAGTAACCTGCCTGCTATGAATTATGCACGTAAGGTGTCATGAGACTATTATCCAATGTGGTCCTGAAGGGGCAGATCTGTTTCAGTCCAATGAAAGCAAGCCCAACCAGGCCCGGAGACGAGCTTAGTGGCACCATCCAGCCCAAAGGGGAAATCACGCCCAGTGAGAGGCCTTGCTCTGTTGTACCAATTATATAAGAGGTAAAACCCAAAGGGAATCAGGCCCATGAGGCCCACAATGTAGAAGCCAAGCAAGAAAACTAGGGTAAATGGAAAGGTTATAAATAGAAAGAGTGACAGAAAGAGAAAGGATCTTGTTAGGGTGATATTTTGTACTAAAGGTCCCCATTAATTGAGGGCGTTAGGAGGCATAAATTGGATATATACGTAATCTTCAACATTATTTGCACAAAGAGACCACTCTCAAACTCGAATGGTGTTTTAAACTTAGCAAACCGAGTTTTTACCATCACACCAAAAAATGACCCCTTAACAATGAGCATGTTCATAATTTACATGCTCACAAAACTACCAACCTTCTAATTACATCTACTGACTACCCTATGGCTCAGACTGACAGTGTGTACACTATGAAGTTGCTTATTTGCTCTAAATCTGGAAAGTCCATAGCAAAATTTGACACGGTCTTCCTTTTTTTTTAAGTTTATGATCTATTATGATTGAACATCTAGATTTCGTTTTTCTTCAACCACTTTATACTAAAAAGCCAGTATGAGAATTTGGTGAGCAGGAGATAAAGGAAGAATCAGATGGAACTTGCACAGTCGATTCATGGATAGATTAATATGATCATGGCAAAAATGATTTGCAACAATTTTGGACGGTCAAAAGTGAAGAGGCAAAGACCTTTTGTTTTCGCTAAGCAGAAAAAGAAAAGACTAGACTGTGACACGTAAACAGTAAAAACATGCAACACAGAAATAACATTTAAGAAGAAGAGGGAGAAGATGAGTTCCACATCACTACGCAACTTTTCTCCAATATTGTCCAAACACTAATTTGCAATGACAGGCCTTTAAATTTTAGTAAGTAATTGGGCGACAAAGGCAGCACATAATAAAGCATGAGAATATCGTAACTTGATATCTACCACTGGATTTACCAAAATCTATGTTGCACAGATATGAGATGTGTGACACTTTTGGTTGGATATGCACCTAAAAAACTTGTCCAATAATTCAATTTTATTTTATTATTGCTTAAAAATGAGTGAAATACCTATATTGAACACTATGTTTCATAGACATTATTTTACTCTATAAATTAAAATAAAAAATATTAAAAGAATACGAATATTTAGCAGTGTCCAACCGTCCATGTGTCTTTTTGCTTTAAAATTTGGCACATCCAACGCGTGGATAGATACCCACTCCTGTCACGTGTACCCGAGTCCATGTAACGTAGACCAAAATAATTCCAGAAGCCTCTTGCAGGCTTTTGCCACATAAACTTCCAAGTGAATTGGGCTTGTCCTACAAGCACATCCAGACCACCTCATCAAACACTCACATTTTTTTAGAAAAGGTCTTCTGGGTCTTAAAAACCACTTTGGAGCTTCTCGAGAACTCCCTAAACACTAGTGAAGACTACAAAATTTGCTCTACTTTCAACACTCCAAACCATGATCAACTTTTTCAAAGTGAAATACCCTCCTTGTAGATAGCAGGAGAATGAAACAAGGGGCTAGTCATTGCAAAAAAAAAAAGCATTAACTAAAACAAATTAAGAGTTGGGAACACAGCGAACATATTGCTTGGTGCAATGCAGAGAGATTGGGCTGCAAAGCATGAGAGTCTCAGTTAAAAACTGAGAAACAAGGGCAACCACGGAAGCAAATAAATCGAGAGATTAAGTTTGTACTTGGTCAACCATTCCAAGCACAATGGCGACCCGGATTTATGACCTTCAGCAATGTCTATGTAGTGTGCCTATATGATACAGACTAGGTTGGGATACATATACAGATATGGAAACTGTGCAAAATGAACCCAACTACTTTCTTCAAGCAAAGAAGAAGATCACAATCAATTCCAGCCACTTTCTAGTCCAAATTGTGGCTTCAGATCATCCCCAATGCTCTTTTTGTATGAAGGACAAAAGGTGGACAGAAATGAAAGTACCAGAGTAGAAAAGGTATCTCTAGGAAGGGTCTTTCCTTCATTTTGTTTGGTTAGAAATGGGTATCACATCATATTACCATTATAACATATTAAAGAAGAGTTTAAATATATTTCATTAAGAACTTCTTCGGATTGCACTTACAAGTTTGATCTTTTCTTCAATAAATTGAAGGCTTTTTAAGGGCAAAAACATATGTGCATGTGTGTGTGTGTGTGTGTGTGTGTGTATAAAGGGCTTCACGTCCTCTTTTCTAGCCCCTTTTGGGAGAAAAGGTTTTAGTGGTCACTCTCCCCCCTCCCTTCCCACTCCCCTTTGAAACTCTATCAATTTCCCTCCACCTTGAAATCCTTCCCTGCTATCAACTGGACCATAAATGCTTTCAGGGTTTCCAGAAAGATTTTTTGAAGCTTCACCCTTGTACCACCTTTTCAGAAAAGCATCACAACCAGTAACATAAAACATATATATGGCACATAAAAGAAATCTGAAAACTTCCAAATGGCACCTTACCATCTCATCCAATGTGATAGATGCATTATAAGTACGGAAAACTTTCGCCGTGAGGCCAGGCATCAGTTCCTTTAGATGAGCATTCAGTTTACTGGTATCCAGCTTGTCAAAAAGATCATCACCGCCTTTTTTGCCTGAAGAAATACATAAAAGAAAAAAAATAAATACTAGTAGATCCTAATCAGTAAACAGATAGGAATTTACCGGCAAAAAATAAAATAAACACACACATACACACATGCATGTACTAACCAGTTCGGAACTGTTGAATAGCCTTGAACACAGGAAGTTCGACTTCAACCTCATTTTGGTATCTAATTGAGTCTTTACCAAGGAAGTCAAACTGGAACATAAGAACAAGTTACTTGAAATAAGTTGTACAATAACAAACAATATTGCATGGTTACAAGTTTCTACAAGTTTAAATTGATTCCACTTTCTCTCTTTGGTAAGTTAACCTGCAAATATTAATTTTACCTCTCTGGCAAACAAAATCCAATCATGTCAATTTTAAAGTCTTACTACCTGAGACAAAAAACCCACCATACCTTCAAAATATTTGGAGGACTTGGTTCTACATTTTCTACTTTCAACGTACAGCAACCAACGGTATCAGCTTCATCATCATCCTGCAGAATGTGCCAACCACATTATCAGAAGTCTACGTAACTTGTTGCTTTTTTCCTTTTATTTTTCTATTATACTTGCCAAGCAAGAATAAGAATAAATTTTTTAGTACAAAAATGCAAATTAAACACAGGTGTGATTAACTATTCGCCACTTTCTTCTTAACATCCTCTGTATCACCATGTCCTCTCTTCACTCAAAGAAGTACTCAATCCACTCAGCAGACTTACCCAATGACTTGGGTAGGCTACACAAACACTTATTTTGAACCAAGTGCTCAAGAAAGTTACAGACTGAAGCACATTTGTACAACTATACCTTCTCATTGCCTGCTCTGAGAGCTAATTTATCAATAAGGTAAGTAGCAACCGCAATTTGCCGCTTCGTGATATCCTTACTTGCAAAGTCTTTGGTGTATGCTGCTCTGATGCCTCCTATGTAGTCCTGCACTCAAATATTGTTATAACTGCTACATGAGACGATACAAAATATTATCTGAAGCAACACAAATGACACTGATCAGAAGTTATTTTTTTCTTTTGACCCCCATAACCCCACGTCTCCCTTCTAGATGCCATTTCAGCAGATAATTCCCATTACGAAGTTTATTGGTGAAATTTTAAATCAAGTACCTTCAACATTCTTGCTTTCTCATATTTCTCCTTGTCACTTTGCCCCTTCAAGGAACTGCTAGCAGCCAAGAACACGTATTTGAATTCCTTTGGATTGATTGGATCATTCCAAAAAGCTAACCACGTAACTGTATTGTCATGCCTTATTTCTTTCCAGCTGCAAAGATAACATATATTTCAAATATCAACCTTACTACAAGGAAACATCTTAAACGAAGAATGACTTTGTTTCTTTTCCAATTAAAATTGTGTGGGAAGAAAACAAGGTAAAAAATCAAAATCACCACCTTTCACCAGGGATAGGACATTCCGGAATTGGGGCATTCTTTCCAATATTAATAGTAATGTCACTTGGACGGATACGTCTTTTTAACTTTCCCATCTGATACCATAAAAATACCAAAAAAGAAAAATAATTAAAGGCAGTTCAAATGACAGCTGCAACATAGCACAAATTTCAGCTAGGACTATTTAAAATTCTCCATTGTTAGTAAGAAGATGCCACTAGAACCTTTGGATGCTCTCCACGGCCTCGGAACAATCCGGGTGGTTCAACTCTGAAGTTTCCAACCTGCAGTTGAGATCAACATCAGATTCTACATGTATGCTCGAGAATAATGAGAAAATGCATTGAAACCAAATATACAACTTTGCCTGAATTATGTTACAACAAAAAGCAAAACAAATATATTTCACAACCATAATGAAGTGAATGTGCAAGGTCTTTTCATACTTCAAAATGCAGAACATATGAACTGAAAACAGCAAACTGAGAAAATCAAAATTTTATCTGTCAGGCAGACATCATCACTTCGGTGAAATACTAAATACATGGTACAAATATTACTTTGTGATGCCTCTTGGAAACATGTGTTGGTTGCAAATGGGAAAAACATAACGGACGAAGCAAAAACTACTAGATATCAACACTACTTTTTTTCATTCTATTTCCGAAAAGGGGTTCCTGTAGAGAATCGCTAGTGCCTCTGGTGGCATGGCTCTTCCGTCGTTCAAAAGGTCTCTCAGCCGCACTTAAAAGGGATAAATCTTTCTTTGAAACCGTAAAGATTATCATAAATTACAATATAATTTATCACATCCTGCAAAACCCACGAACTAACACACACATCATGTGGTATTTGCATGAGGACGTAGTTCACAGGAGGTGCAAAAGAATTCTTTCAGAACCTCCTCAAGCTCAAACGTTTCACTAAAAATGCCAAGACATATGCACAATTTTTTTCTTACATATACAAGTGGTTCATCAAGGAGAAGACAAGATAAGAGAAAAAAGGAAATCAATCATGTAACCTAGTATATTAAATAGAAAAACCATTTTCCTGTAACTGTACAAAATAAATACACAAATAAAATAAGAATTCTGTAACACCGACGTGTTTGATAGTAAAAACCTGGACTTCTTAGAGAAACCAATGTGGTAATGTAGAAGAGATGAAGATAGAACACACGCAAAAGAGATAGTTTCTGATGTAAAAGGGCCTTAAGTGTTACCATGAAAGGTTTGAACTCAAATAACAGTCTGGCACATTATTTCAAAATCTACTTATGGTGAAAATTTTCAACCAATAGATGGGAGATGTCAAAGCTACTCTCTGGCCTCGAATTTCTTGTCCAAACACTTTAGCTAGGTTGGATGGTTGCTTCACTTTCATGGCACACTTCAATCATTTCATATCACTATTTTAAAGCAGAAAATATCGTAGAAAAAGTAAAAACAAAAGATATGAAGAAGAGGAAAGGGACAGGAGGGCAGATACACACAAGCACACAACCCAAATTGAAGTAAAACCTAAAGTATGTCTATGTCAACTAACAATTACTGATATTCCCAAATTAACATCTATTATTATTGTTCTCCAATTCTTTGATCAAGAGTAAAAATCAAACTCATAAACCCATTCCTCCCCCATTGCCAGCACTTTTTTCTTCTTATTTTCCAATTTGTGACAGATAAATAGTAAATTTTATATTCTAAAAAACAAAGCAACACCCCAAATTCCAAAGCCATAAATCAGAGCTAAAGGCAACCTTCTCTTTGACACCATCGACGATAGCCCACATATACTTCTCCTCTTGTTTCAATTTATCTTCTTTCAAGGCCTTCTTCTCCTGCATAAACAGTAACCATTAGACATATTTTGAAACTAGATGGATAATCAAATTTTAGCACGCTATAAATTACCCACAGTAGTCATCACGCAAATACCATCTGACAACAAAATCTGAATCTATCTACATGGTTCAAACACCATCTAACATAGTCGCACTAATCTGCAATTAACAATTGATACACCAAGTATAATTTTATAGTGAACCAATGGTTATGCAAAGTTCCAGTGTCAATTGAGGATGTCAAAATGATTTCACCAAAATTTGTGAACCTTTACGTTTTGTAATAAAAACAAGCAAAAATGTTCCTTGCAATCCTATAAAATTCTTTTTCTTTTTCCTTTTTGTCTTTTCTGTATATGTATTTTGGCCAAGTCAATCGACCCTACAGAACATTCTACCATATAGAAGTCATCAGCTTCTAAGAATGCAGGGGCAGTAGGTGAAAATTTTCCCCCCCAAAAAAAGGCTGTTGGAAATCCAAAGATCTTCATATCAATGCCAGAAGTCACCAGCTTCCAAGAATGCAAGGGCAGGAGGTGAAGATTTTCCCCCCAAAAAAAGGCCGTTGGAAATCCAAATATCTTCATATCAATGCCAAACAAACAGTTGGGATAACATACTGGAACAATTCAAAAATTACCCAAGAAAAAATTTGCCTCTGCCCGAATCACATCCTAAAAACTTCAATTAAGACACATTTTCTAATGGTAATTATGGAATAAAAAGTGACAAAAATGAAAATTCATGGTTTGTTCAAATTCAGTATTAATTCAAAAAGTTGACTTACAATCTCCTTTGGCATAACAAAGTGAAGAGAATTTAACTTACATCAGTAGTCATTTGTTTCTTCTTCTCCTTTTCCTTTTGATGCCATTCATATATTGGGGTGAAATTGCAGTCATCCAACTTCTGAATTACATGGTTCTTCCCAAGTATCTTTCTCCAGTCAGTCATGAAATTCTCTTTGAATTTAGGTTTGTTCATATAATCAGTATCTAACATCACTGCAAACATTGTTGCAACCTGGAAAGATGATTTATAAATAAAAAAGACAACTTAGAAACTCTGTTGAGACAACTTTAAGGATTTCAAGTTAATCAATCGCAGAGACCCCCAGACCTCAGCCCCCAAAAAAATAAAATATAAAAAATATTTAAAAACAAAAGAAGGAAAGGAAAGGGAAAAGAGGTGAAGGAATTCACAAGTGAGTTATGGGAGCAGAGCGCACCTCCTCTTGTTCAGGAGTCAAATCAACTGGCTTCCCTTTGTAGAGCATCTTGACCCCATGAGGCTTGTATGGAGGCGGGAAAATGACTCCATTGTGAACTAGGGTAATCCATTTCTGCCCTTCACCAGAGCTAGGAGGCAATTTCGATGACTTTGAGTATTTTGAGTTTTTCATAACTTTGTTAGGCTTCTTAATCTTTTTTTTGATTGAAGTAGCAACTTTTGTTTCTTTTTGTCTTGCAGATGATGATTTATTACCTGATGCAGCTGCCTTTTTAATTCTCTGAGATATTGGAATATCATCATCATCAACTTCTGCCTTTAGTTCTACTTTCACAGATGCTTGCTTACTACTAATTGATGTAGATACATATGAAAGCTTCGTTTTTTTAACTGAACTCTGACTAGAAGATTTGATCTCACTTAGAGGTCTCTTATTGACCACTGTAGAAGGTTTTCTAGGTTGATTATCCCTTGTGATGGAACCATTTTGCTGAAGTTTTGATGCCAAAGGTTTATCTTCGTCAGAATCGTAAAAATTACTAGTAGATGCCCCTGCATTGGACTTCAATTGGAACTTTGATGACAAAAGAACTTCATCATCCGAATCGTCAGAATATTTATTGACTCCTGGTTTCTGAGATGGTGGTGAAACCAAACCAGAATTTCCAGGACCACTGTTACGATGGTTGGAGTTTCCCTTTGATGATCCAACAGTGGATCTAGCACCTATGGGTTTATCATCTTCAGAATATTTACTGACTCCTGGTTTCTGAGATGGTGGTGAAACCAAACCAGAATTTCCAGGTCCTCTGTTACGATTGTTGGAGTTCACCTTTGATGATCCAACAGTAAGTCTAGTGCTCAGGGGTTTATCATCTTCAGAATCTTCGGAATCATCATGTGACCGAGCAGCAGGTTTAATCAATTGCTTCTCCTCCTTAACAACAGTGCTTGTATTCTGTTTAGATGAATGTTTTGACTGGTCATCTGTCATTGATGCTTTTGAATTTGCTACTGGTGAATTTCCCACCGATGCCTTGGCAGATGAAGTGGATGCATTTGGGCTTACTATAGGTGATTTTGCTGGTGATGTCCTGGCAGACGAAACAGTCTTACCCTTTTGAGCACTTAAGCTTCGACCATTGGGAGAAACTACACCGGGGACCTGCCTCCCTGATTGTCCATCACTCTTTTGCGATGATGACTTTTTTGTTTCTGAGCTGAGTTTATTTTGCTTTGATGTCCGTCGAAAAACTAGGGGCTCATCATCCTCTTCATCATAGTCATCCACCATTTTTGGTTTGACACAAGCCTGAACAGCCATTATCCAGATATGTACCGTGTCAATGTGTATATCGGATAAATTTCTGAAAACATATTTTTCGAACATGAGGAACAGGGAAAGACAAACAATAACATTAACACCCATATGGATTTAGAAGGAAAAAACATATGAATCAACCTTCTGTAATACAATCCTACAAAGAAATCAAATATGTGCATCATAGCTACAAAAAGGCCACTAAGTACTATCTCGTATCAATAAAGAATGACTTTGATGCAATGAAATCCCATCTAAAGGGAATAGCAACGGTTGAAGCAAATCTGATTTCATATATAAGCAAACAAGTCATTCAGTTTACACAATCTCATTAACCTTAGACCCCATAATAGTAATGTTAACAAACTAACACTGTTATATGAGAAAGAAACTCCTAGGGATCCCTTTGCTAGAAGAGGCAAAACCTGTCCACAATTCAGCCAACAAGAAACCAACCCATTGGCATTTGACAACTTTTCAAATTTAATTTTTTGATTCTTGATGAAAACAAATCCACTTATTACTTTTTGGTATACACGGTAATAAAGTGCAGTTTATGCAAAGGTTAATATGCCAGTTTTGGATACTAAACCCATTGCAAGGCATCCTCCAAGAATTTCAAGAGCAAGTAGATCACTAGATCCATTACAGAATTCCATCACTTACTATACAGCCATACTTCAAAGCCTTATATAAGTTTCTACTCAATCATGAATGTCACACAATGCTTCAATACACGTAACTGAAGCAGACTTGAACTCAGAATGGTTATATGCAAAAAAAGGACCTTGCATTGCCATGTTCCAGTCACCATGCAAGGTGCATGCCTGAGTGGAACAACATAATAAAGTACTTTTTATATTTTTCGATAGGTAGAACACAAGTACATAACCAAAAAATATATCAAAATATATATGAACTGACATATTAAAAATATAACTAGCCTCTTAATTTGAATGATGCCTAAAATAGTAAGCATACATGACAATTCAGTAAAGGAAAATGACCAATTTAAACTAAAGCTACACAGCAACATAATTCAAATTGAAGATTCTAAACAAAAGGGGGGAAAAAAAAATTAAAAATGGAGACTTTTTATTTCTACAAATCATTAGAACAAGAATTGAGATTTTTAATACACAGAAATCTAATTGTTTGTGTGTAATGTAATTAGCTATCAGTCATATATACTCACAGAAGCTTGGGTAGATTCGGATTCCAGGAAATAATCAGCAACTCAACAACAAATTGATAAATCTATATGGTATTCCTTTCTCTCTAGCTATACATGCATATATATAATATGAATTAGAAGAAAACGAAGGACCCTCCTAGCGTTTCAAACCCTAAATTTCAGATATCTGGCTCAATAACAACATATCCAGCATTTATTGTGTTACAAACCCTAGATTCTAATTTTCTGTTTCTTTTATTAAAGAACAAGAAAAGCAAACATGTATAGTATAGATAGATAGATAGATAATATAGAGAGAAAGGGGGGTGCTTACCACCAAGAGAGAGAGGATGAGTAGGATCCGTGAGGGGAAGAGAGAGAATCTGAATTTGAGGTACCTTGAAACGCAGGTGGAAAGAAGGGGACGATGATGGTGGTGGTAGAGAGAGAGAGAGAGAGGGTAGAGCCTACGATGAGCTGAGGAAGTGCATACCAAATAAACCCAACCCACAAGAAGGAATAGATGATAGATAGGTCTTAGGCGCAGTATCTTTCTTGTTTTCTGGTTCCCGACGCCAAACCAGACCAGACCCGAGCGGAGACCGGCTACGCTGTTGACACTTCAGGTACAAAGCCCAGACCCGGACGGACCCTCGAACGATTTTGTGGTTAAGGGCCTGTTTGGGAATCTTCGTTTATGGACTTATTTCAAGTCTAAAAACCAACACGCCAACACGCTTTTACGTGACCTGGTTCAATTTTCAGACCAAACCTCGCTAGTGCAAGTGCATCAGTAGATGTGGCAAAAGTTGACACAATTGGTCAACATTGTCTAAGAAAACTAATAAGCCACGTAAAGTTGGAGTTGGAGCTGAAGTTGAAGCGGAAAAACGATAAAATTTAAGTCAGATAAAATTAAAATACGATCAAAAGTGTGAAATGTGATAGCAGAAGTGCACTCCAAACATTTTTTTTTTTATATTTTTTTTACAAGACAAGAAAGGTTAGAAGTAATCCACTGAATATACTAATCGAGACATGAAAGAGACATTCAATAAAAAAAAATTGTGCGACGTAAGTAAGAAACTATTTTTCAAACTTGTAGTCTAATTATATTTCTATTTGTATAGTCGTATTTTATGAGAAAATTTTTTGTCAGACAAGTCTTGAGACTGGTGGTCAAGGGACAAAGGGTGTGTGTGGTAGTACATAGTGTTGGTATTCTATCAATTTAATATCTCAACCTGTTGTATTGAAATATCGTTTATGTTTATGGATGTAAAGCTGGTTTGTGCCAAATCATTGTGTTTGTGATGATTGATTTATTGTGGTCCGTTGGATCTCCATATTTGTGCGTTGCTACTGTCCCAACACATGAACCTAACAAGAAATTTGTTAGTATTGTAGTAATTGTATCAAGCTGATTAAATAATCATATTGTATTATAATTTGGGGAACTAAAGCCATTTTATCCAAATTGAACCCCTAACTCGATCATATCAGGTCAAGCTTATGACATTAGTCAATATGTATCAACAATTTTAATAGATGCCAATATTTTCAAATCAATATTTTTTGTTAATACATGGTATTGTAATAAAATCGAAGTAAATCAATTGTGTGATTTATTAGGATGGAATGAAAGATTTAGTTTGTATGAAATTTTATTCACTATTTTATTTTATTTTTTGGTTAAATTTGTAATTTTTAATTAAGAAAAAATTAAAGATGTTTTTTTGAATATCACGTCTCTATTTAATAAACATATCTTATTTTGTATCACAGTTTTTTTCATATGAATAATAAATGAATTTGACATGTGTAACAGAATATTTTTATCTTGTTATGATACAATGACAATTTGTTAAAACGATTTATTATACATTAGTACTAGGTGCATTGGAATCAACTCCGAAGAAATAAGGTTTCATTTTAGATCGATTGCAATCCTCCGCACTGCAGCAAATACAATTGAGAAAAGGGATTTTGATTTCGATTATTTTTTTCTCTGTGTTGGCTTCTGAAAAAGCCACCTTTCGAAACTTCAAAGTTCACCAAACACATTAAATAGTTAACACTATCCTATTTTTTTCTCTCTTTTAATTTTTTCTGTCAATTAATGTTATTCTTTCTTCTTCTTATTTTTTCTTTTCTTTTCAATTGTACCAAACATTAGCTTAAGGAGTTTGTTAGGCTTTAGGTTTGTCAGGGGTCATCGTGCAATCAATGTTTAAAGGTGTTGTTTGAAAATTCAATTCAATACTTAATCCATTCAATTAACTGTGTTTGATAACACAATTTGAATATTATTGAAAACTGTAAGCCCAACTTAAAATGGGATAAAATTTTAATTGACTGAGAATCATTTATCATTTAATGCTGAAATTTTAAAAGTATTTATTTTTAATTATCACTTGAAAACCTCAACACTATTAAATTTCAGTTCTTAAAATATTCTGTATTTAATTCTGAATTTTATCAAACAACGTATGTTTGTATCTAACTTATCCATTTTACAACTTTCAATGGTCCAATGGACCACCAACAACAACACTGGTACTTGAAATGGTACATTAGAGTCGTTGAATGTTTTTCATAAAATTAAACAAATTTTTTTTCCTTCCCATGATTACAGAAATATTACTGTCTAAACATGTACTGTAGTAAAAAGAATAAGATTAACACGATAAAACTTATAATTGCACAAAGACCCACCATTTTTAACCAAAAGTATACTAGACCAAAATATTTACCACTATTGTTGCTCTTTTTGCCACCAAACAGAATTGAAAGAGAATTTGTAACACGAAAACGGTTTTAATCCACATTTGCCAAGCATATTTTTGAAATAGTCATGTACCAATTCTAACAAAAATAAAATTCATAGTTTATTTTAATGTTTTATAAATGATCAGGACATAATTCCAAACTTCTAGAGTACGTCTGGATTAAGAGAATTGGACAAAAGGGGGAAAAGAGAGAAGAAAAATTAGATTTGATTTTAAAATAAATAAAAGAAAAAAATATAGAAAAAAGAATTATAACTTAAAATAGTTTTCATTTCCTTCCAAAAATAAAATAAAATAAATAAATAAATAAAAAGTGGAAGGGAAATGTTAAAAGATCAATGACAACTCATTCCGTCATTCATTGTACTGATTATAAGATTTGACACAAATAGCTTAGTGGTATTTCCTCTCTCTCTCTCAAAGTAGATTGTGTGAGTTTCTGTTTACGTAGAAATAAATAGATGCATGAGTTTTCTTTTCAGTAAAAAAATAAAAATTTCTGGACTTGACTAATCCAATAAACCCGACAGAGATTAAGATGAACTTTGATTAATAAAACAACAAATTGGTAAAAATGTCAAAATTCTTATAGGTAAAACAAAGCAAATATATTGTCACATTTATATATATATATATATATATATATACACACACACACACATATATATTTATTTATTTATTGAATTATTGTTTTTCCTTTACCACTCAAAATTCAAACATTTTATTTCATTTCATTTCCGTTCACTATCTTTTTCAATTAAAAAAACGATGAAGAAATACTATATCTCTTTATTTCTTTTTCTTAAATTATTCAAATTTGAATACAAATTAAGATTGTCCTCAACTTTTCTTTCTATTTTCTCAAAATTAATCCTTATACGCTCTATAATACTCTAGGGCTCCTATAAATTAAGAGGCAAATAATATTTTCTAAATTTTGGTTAGAAAGAAACTAATTGGGAAAAGTTAAAAATGAAAGTAAAAGAAAGTGAAGTGAATGAAAAGGGGGGAAAATATTTGATTAGCATAATTTTTTAAAAAAGAAATTTATTGAAAATTACCATTTCATGGTTGTTCAGAATGCATAAAACTCTTTCTTTTCTTTTCTTTTTTTCGTTTTTTTTTTTTAAACACTGAATGCATACAACTTAGAAGAAAATAAAGGGTAATTAATTGTAGCTCTCTAGAAATGAAAATTTTATTGTACTTTCATACGAAAATTTTATGAGAGCATAGGTGAATATGAAAAATGACTCTCAGAATTTTTAATAGGATTATATAGAGATATAGATTTTCAATGTGAATGTAAATAAACCACATCTTATACTGAATCATTCAAGGCTTAAAAAAAAAAAAAAAAACCTATATAATATAGAAACAACAAATCTCTGCCCAGCATATATATATATAATATAATATATAAAAAAAAAAAAAAAAAACTATTTAAATACAAAAACAAACAAATTACGTGCATACTATGAAACTAAAAACCCAGTGAAATCTCAGACTCCCATAACAGCCAGAATCCGAAAAGAAAAAAGCAAACAAACGTCCTCAAGATGAGGTTCTCCATTGCATCTCGATCTGAACCCGACCATTTTTCGAGTCAATGAGGTGGTACCTCTGATTGATTCTCTTGTTGCTGACAACGTCCGAGAGGTTTATATCTACATAACCCAGAGGTTCCTAATTTTATAGTAAAACAAAAGAAACATGTGTTATCTCAACTGCTGGCTAATAAAGACGAGCAATTACATTACTTACAGTTTGAAATCAATAATTCAAAATATAACAAACGATGTAAAAAACATCATTCAGAATTATAAAGTTTCGATGAAGAGGAAAAATATTAAAGCTAAATCCGTTCCAAAATAATTCGGTTCAACTTGACACCGCCTCTCCCAACTATTTGAGACCATGAACCTCACTTCGGTCATCTTAATTTTTTTTTTTCCCATTTTATCTCCAAGGGGTGCCATTTCAATCGTCTCAGGTATATGTTCACTTCTTTTTACTAAAATATATCCTCGATATTCACTATTATGCCTACTCTAGCATTTCTAGTTTACTGAAGTTATATTTCATATATTCAGTCTTTGGTCTCCTACTTATTCCTAGTTTAGTTCCACCAATTAAAATAACATATACACGTCCTTAATATAACCCCACAGTGAGTATACACTTATTTTTCATATAATTGTTCTAACTAAGATCACAAATTTAACATTCATAGCTTTTATCATGTTAACATATATATATACACTTCTGAGTCCAGTTGTTTCTAAAACCCACAATATCTATATTGCCTCCATTAAAAGGTTTTTTCTTTCTATATATTTCCATTGACTCCTGAGTTAATATATATATTTCCATTGACTTCTGAGTACATAAATAGTTTCCACTGTAGACCTCCCCAACGTAGATCCAAATTGATTACCCCAACCCTATTGTCTTACATTTTAGTCATTCAATCGCTTGCTTCTAATAGTATAATAATCACGATAATATGTAAAACTTCACATAATATCCTCATTTCCACTTTAGCCATATTCTAAACACTACTGAAAATCTATTACAATTCTATGTTGTTTCCAGATCCCCGAGAACATATACTTTCTAAAAGTTGAATCCATTAGTGTTATAATACATGATTATGGCAGACTCATCCTTGACATGAAATGGATGTAATAGGTACCTTGGGATGCAGTAGATTCATCCTTGACGAGGAACTGACCACTTCCACACGAATCCTATCATTCGTGGGTGGTTTATCCAGCATAAACGTAAACTCCTCATCCCATCTGGGATCTTTGTTTTTCTTTACAGGCTGTATCGATGTCAAAGAAAGTCATCAGTTGCCAATAATAAAACTAAATCTACATTGAAAAAACTAGAAATGGTAATCCAAATCGTAAAACGGTAAGGCTTTTCAACAGAAGAAGCATAACAACACTACTGAGGTTCTGCATCAACGTCAAAATAAATAAACATTCAGCTGCCAACAATACTGACTAAACCTACACAAAATTTCTAGAAACGAGAAATCAGATCTCAAAATTAAGGCATTTAACAAAAGCAGCATTACGACATGATTGAGGATGACTACTTGTCAACAAACAGGTCTATATTTTCAAAAAAGCTACCTCAAGTGCATTGATAAAGAACAAAAAGATAAGCATATAAATAGCAGTTGTATCTTTTTTATCACAACTGTCCATTTATCAAAGTAAACATCTTTTTTCCCCTCCTGGTAAATATTTATCAAAGTATATTGCCAAACTTGTTATTTTTTCCACCAGCATACAGTTCTATCATGTAACATGCATCATATTAAAAAGTGACACATTAGAGGATGCAGAAATATCATTGGCAAAAAATTAGCAAATTAATTGTGTGTGGCCCACTTCTTGCTTAGTTTCTTGAGTTTGTCATTTATCACTGAAGAAATAATTAAAATCTAAAATTTCAGTCATGAATATGCAAAATATCTTACTGCTACTCTGCCTGGTATATTCCCATAAACAATAATAGGCTTCAACTTACCTTAGTTTTTCTCTCCTCTCCGTTGAAAAGTAAACGCACAAATGGATTTACATGGTGCTGCTTTCCTTCAAGATCTTGAGCTTCATGGACAATAACCACAAGCAAACCTCCACCAGCAGGTGTTCCTTCAGGAGCCTTTTGTACCTCATTTGAATCTTCAATATCCTTTGGCATTTCATCTTCCTTAAAAGGTTTGTACATTGCTTCAAGAACTATCTGCCCACGCGGCTTTTCGTTTTGAACATCATTTGGATCAAGGCTTTTTCGCAGATCAAGAGTCACCTCTTTTGGCTCATCAGGTGTAAGCTCTTTCAGTGGTAGGACATTCAGGCCCATCTTCTCATGCTTGCCAACCTTAACAAAAGGAATATGCAGCTTTTGAGAAGCATTGATAAAGAAGGAGGAGCAGCAGGAGGAGGAAGAGGAGGACTATTCATTACCATGGGCGCTTTGCCCTAACGTTATCTCCTCTAACTCCCAAAGTGAAAGGTGAGGGTTCAAGTCTCCAGAGGGACAAAATGGGTGTGTGAGTTTTTGCCAAGGTTGAAAAAAGTACAACAGTTCATTATCATCACACAGAGCGACCAACGATGTCTAGAAAGCAAGCAGCCTTCATTACACACTTTTATCTTCATCCTTTTGGTAGGGAAAATAAAATAATAAACAGAAACAGGGCCACAGCATAACCTGTCGCCATCTCCTACTGAGCCAAAAATAATCTGAAAAAGAGAGAAAAATTTACCTTTTCCCAGTCATAAACGACAACATCCAAAGCTTGAGATTCTGGATCTTTAACAACAATATTAAATTCCTCGTTCCATTCAGGATTCAGGTTTTCGTGCTTCACAGTTGTTTTCTTCGATGGAAGCTTATCATCAGAAAGTTTTAGTTTCACATAAGGGTCTGCCTTCCCCATAAAATCTTTCTTTTTTAGCTTTATTGCCCTCAGAACCTTCACATGGAGAATCCCAACAGGTCTTTTCATGGCCCTGCCAATTCAAAAGTAAAACAGGTGAGTTGATGCAAAGACTTGCTAAGCATGGTTATCGACACAAGTGAAAACAATACAAAAACAGATGCACTTACTTTGCAGGATCCATTATTGGTACCTCAAGGGTTTTGGGCCACAAATACATATTTGCAATCTGGTCTTTAATAAGCTCCTGGAGGATAAAGTATAATGAGCAACCAAAGCAAATTCCATATATAAAATATAGTAATGATGAAGTATTCAAGTTCCATATTATTATTGTTATTATTTACATTTTTTTTTCTTCTTAGTACTCACACACACATGCCTCCACTAAGGCTTGAACCCCTAACCTCCCTTTGAGAAGTAGGGGCTTGGTACCGCTAGGCCACTGCCCGTTGATTGTTATTATTTACATTAATTGCTTCAGAAGAGTGAAGACCTTATAATAATTACGTCCAAAAAAAAGGGAAAAAACAAGATTTTATGAGGAAAAAAGAAGTAGGGGCTTGGTACCCCTAGACCACTGCCCGTTGGTTGTTATTATTTACATTAATTGCTTCAGAAGAGTGAAGACCTTATAATAATTACGTCCAAAAAAAAGGAAAAAAACAAGATTTTATGAGGATAAAATATAATGAGGAACCAAAGCAAATTCCATTTATAAAAAATAGTAATAAAGAAGTATTCAAGTTCCATATTATTATTGTTATTATTTACATTAATTGCTTCAGAAGAGTGAAGACCTTATAATTATGTCCAAAAAAAAGGAAAAAAACTAGATTATATGAATAGTTTAGTTATGTCTCCGTGCCATTGTGTTCAGGGATTTGATGAATCCGAACTTAGATACATGCACATGTAGCCGAGTTCATTTTAAATAGGTACCTACACCCTCTGATGAAATTACAGCTCCACCATGAGGGAAAACAGAAAAGAAAGGTTAAGTTGAGATGAACACATGCATTGAACCAGAGTTTCTCATTTAGACTAGTGACAAGGTATCCCAGTGTTCATCAGGAATCTGGAGAGATATTTCCCAACATAAAAAGGGATTAGCTGATCTCAAAGACCAATGCAAAAGCACCTTACGGATGACAAAAAATATGCGTATCCCATAATCCACAAGCAGGCATATCTCCCACTGAAATTGCCATTCAATCTTTCAATTCACATTAACTGAAATCATCTTCAAACAATTCTCTGTTGTAGTTGTATCTTTCCAAACCAATATTCAAAATAAATTCTACCTAACTACCCTCATCCTTAACGAGAGAATTAAATCAAAATCTGAAGTTAACAAATATCATAGCGAAAGCAACTAAAATACCTTACCTGGACAAACCTATACAATCCCGGAATGGACATAGCATCCGCCCCTAGCAGTTTTAGTCCAAAGTCAACATGAGGCTGCAAAATGAGAGAGAGAGAGGGAGAGAGAGAGAGAGAGAGATTTAGATCATAGAGAATAGTGATGCTGCAGCTTTTTCTCTTATTAAAAAACATCAACATTTATAGCTTAGATTCCTGAATACTACTAGCTTAAAATACTAGACCAATGGGGTGGGGTGGAATTGGAAACTGATTCTTTGCGCATAGCCTACATGATAGACAATTTTAGACATCTAATGATGGTCAAGATCTTCCTAAATGCAGAAAGCAAAATATGGATCCTAATCACATAATGTAATACTTCCAAATAACGATCAGGATGCCATTTCTATCAAGTATCAGCTAGTAGGTATCAAACTTCACAATGCATAGATATTCCTAAGGGTCATTCCTAGGGCCCGGGTGGTTCAACCTGGCCCGGTCAGGCTTCGAGCTTTGACTGGTCAACAGCCCAGCCCAACCTAAAAAATGCCAGGCCCAGTGGGCCTACTAGGATGGCAGACTTGGGCAGACTCGCGGACCTAAGGGCTTTTGTATATAAAAATTCATAATAATGGCTTTAGTGAGACTTGAACTCAGAACCCTCTCCTTTGACAGGGTGGAGTATGAAGCACTAAGCCAAAGGCTTAGTTTTTTAACAATGTGCATATAAATTATATACACACACATTAATTCTCGAAAAAAAAAATTCTAATATATATTTATAGATATTAGGTTTATAATAGATTAGTTATATAACATTTATGTCATATATATAATTTATGTAATATATAATTTATATGAATGTAACCAACGGGCCAGTGGCCTAGCTGTATCAAGTTTTTACTTCCCAAAGGGAGGTCAAGGGTTCAAGACTTAGTGGAGGCATGCGTGTGTGAGTGCCAACTAAGGTAAAATAATAATTTCTATGAATGTAACTTTAGAAGTATGGAGAAAAACTTCAGAAACAAAAGGCCTAAAATTAGTAAAACTAAAATAGAATATATGAGGAATGTAAATTTGATAAAGTAGCAGAAGAAAACAATATAACTCTTTTCATTTTTTAAGGGTCAATATTTCAAAAAGGTGGGGAGATACATGGTGATGTTGTAAGTAGGATAGGAGCAGGGTGGACAAAATGGAGGTAAACTAGTTGTAGCCTATGTGACAAACAAATATCAAATAAATTATAAATAAGAAAAATGCATTCATGTAGCGGAAATGAGGATATTATGATGGATGATAGGAGTAACTTGAAGATATAATATTTAGCACCTACTAATATAATTGACAAAATTAGAGAGACAAGACTTATCAGGTTGTATGGTCATATAAAATGTAGATTCGAAGATGCACTGGTTATAAGAGGAAGGGTTGTTTGCTGAAAAGGTAAACAACAAAGAGGCTGAAAAAAACTTAAATGGAATGAAGTAGTTGAAAATGACTTTAAAAAATTAAATATTAGAGGAGACATGATTTCTAATGGGATAGAATAGAAAAGGAGAATTCATGTGGCCAACCTCATTTGTATGGGACATAGGTAAAGATGATGATGATGTAATATAGAAGTTACACGTACAATTTATAATATACAAGTTATATTATATTCAAAAATGCAAATTACATTATGCAACAAATATATAATTTATATATTATTCATAAATGTAGACTCATTACAACTAATGCTTTGAATTGAGTGACTAGTACTTAACTAACTCCATGAAGACGTTATGCGCTCAAACCCCATCCAAAGCATTGTAAATTATAAAATTATATAAGAAACAGGCAAAAAAAAAAAAAAAGAAGAAGCAGCTTTGGGCCAAGGGTTGGGTTCACAGTCTTACATTTGGGCCTGCCAGGCCAAGCCCTTTGGGCTTCACAGGCAGAGACTCCATGCTCAGGCCCAGCCCTGGAGGGGTACAGGCATCGCAGGGAAAATGGATATCCTCAGATAATCCTGAAGAAATCACGCAGTTCCCCAAACCCTTATGAAAAACTACAACATATCTATTTTTCCCTTCAAGAAAAATTGTCTACGAAAAGTAATTTTAATAATTGCCACTCACCTTCTCCATGAGAGAGACTAATATTTTGGCAAAACAAGGAAAGCTTGGAACCAATGGCTTTAAGGTGATACGCGGCGAAGCAAATACTTGCAAATCAACTACCTGAAATACTCAATAGATCAACAATTACTACCAAATACTGCAACAAACGAAAAAGTTTCTCTTCCTTAAGCAAAATGTTCACAAGAGAGATGAACCAGGCAAACGTGTTTGTTTCTGCAGATAAGTTGGTTTTACCAATAAAAAGTAGGTAATTTCAACAAATCTTAATTTCTTTCAACACCAAGTAACTAATTTCTACAAGTATTGATGCCTTCCCTTCCATCAAAAGTAATATGAGAAAATACCTGAACAGTGGCTCTCAACCCAAATGCCTTAACTGCAATTGTGATATTTGGATTGCCTGCCCACTTCACAGATGGTTCCATAATCAATTCCTTCTCCTCAGTAATATAGACTTTCATTCCTGACATGAAATGGTATCAAGCTTATTAGCACATCAATGGGAAACAAAAGTATAAATAGGAAAACACAAGAGAAGACAATAGGAGTTATGTTCCATGTCATTAGAGAGTGCGCAAGAGAGAGTTTATTGGGTGATTATTCAGATGAAATGAAAGAAAAGGTGAAAAAGAAAACGATACAAGCTCAAATGCAGAATTTGCTAATTGCAACAATTTGGGAAATGAATATTATAATTGTTTGAATATTTATGTGTACAGAACGGACCATCATTGAGACCAAGGGGGGCCATGGCCCCTCAAAAATTTCAAAACCTCTTATGCATAGGCCTCATTTAGTTTGGAGAAAACTTAGGCTTTGTTTGGTACGGTGGGTTTGAAGGGGAAGGATAACATTAGTTATGAGGGAAAAGGAAGGGAAGGAAAAGGAAGGATAATTTTAAACCTCCATTGCGTTTGGTTGATTAATGAAGGAAAAGAAAGGGAAGGACAATAATTATGTTTGGGAAAAGAAAGGAAAAGAAATGGAAGGGAATTATTTTAACATATGGACTATTATACCCCTTTATATTTATATATTATATATATATATATATATATATATATAGTTTCATGTACTTGCCAAAAAATAATAATAATAATAAATAAATAAAAATTAGGGCAAATCATTTCAGCCTCCCTAATCCTCCATCTCTATTATATATATATATATAAAGTCTTTAACTTGAGGCCATAAGAAAAGAAAAATAAAAAAATAGGGCAAAGCCTCCCCAATCTCGCTCCATCTCTGCAACTCCTTCTCAACACTGAACTTGGCCTCTCTCTCTCTCTCTCTACAAGAATCAGAAATTCAAAACCCATACATTTCCAGTTTATCTATCTGTTTGCAAGAATCAAAAGTTCAAACCCGTATCGATGTATCATTTCAGATTGTTCAGAAAATCCAAAACCCATATCCTTCAGTTTCCATGGCTGCTGTTCCAGTTCGGGTCGCCGTTCCAAGCTTCAATCACCGGCGGTCTCTCTCTCTCTCTGCAATCTTGAGGGTAAAATTGGCATCTGAAATCACCCATCAAGCCTCTCCTTCCCTTTCCCTTCATTTCCTCCCATTTTTGGGAGGTTAAGAAATCTACTGTTGAAGGCACAAGCTAACCCTCCAAACCCTTCCCTTCACTTCCCTTTCCTTCCAACAATTTTTGCCAAACACACATTTTTAATCCCCCTCCATCACCTTCCCTTCCCTTTCCTCCCTTTTCTACTCTACCAAACTGACCCTTAGTGTGCTGCGTGGCCCGAATTTGGTGCCGGGTGGCATTGCCGAACCACGTATAAATCCTTGTGTTCTTTGCTTGGTGTGTTTATTTTTCTGTCGTGTTTCGTAATTGTTGCTTGGTACGCTGCATTTGTCGTAACACTTAGCATATGAAACCCCAACTCTTAGCATCACATATATTATATATGATAGATATCTACCTCTATATTTTAAAATTTTGTTTTCAGTTGTTTTTAAAAGGGGGAGAGAGATTTCTTAATAGGGTAAAGGGAAACGCTTGGCACTGGTCTGCAACACACTTCATATTGTTTGCAAGTTGTCTCAAGGCTTATATTGTACTGAAATTACACGGCATTAGGCAATGACGGTGTGTTTTGACTAATGAAACTGTTTACTTAGTGATAAAACTAATGGAAAGAAACATAGAGAAGAAGAAAGATTGTCATATGTTATATTTATAGATTTAAGGATTAATTGCAAAAAAACCAGTGTACTACAATAGTTTTGCAAGTCATGCCATTAGCATAAAATTAACCCCCATTAGCCGTTCAAAGTTGAAGGAAGGACAACCGTTTCATTGGTGTAAGTTTGCTGTTAATAGCATTATGGTAGTATGGAATTGACCTTAATACTTTCAAATTTTATATCTATGAATAAAGCAAAAAATGCCAAATGACCCGTTTGTCCATCATTAACAACATTGTTTGCCAACAAAAAGACTAAAGATCCCCCTAAGACAGCGAAATTCTCTCTGAAATATCGCCATGACCTGCTCTCTCTCCTCTGATCTATTTTCACTATATTCTCTCTTTCACCATATCTCACTCACCCACGTCTATCATCCTCAATCTCATTCTTTTCCGAAAACCTCTAAGTAAGTATATTAGTTTCTATATCCATTTGATTCAGCAATGTCTCTCAGAAACCCGAAAATATGAAAATAGATCAAATTATTTTCCGACCAAGTAATTGCTTGTAGTGCTTTAGTGTTCTCAAAGCCATCTATACTATTGGACATTGTCACTTGAGATTTTCTGAAAGTAACAAAGCTATAGTCAGATAAAGCTTTAAAAATAAACAAATCCTACAAAAGAGATGGGATTTGAAAATTTTGCACACCTGCAGGATAGCCAAAATTGATGTGATAATAAATTTTCAATTCAGAAATATAGAATTCCACGTTAACTGATATGATTACTACTAAAGTGGTCAACTCCTAGCAAGTGGAATACCAAGATAGCGATGATGTTCATCAATTTCATAATAATATAGAAATCACGCTTTAGTTATGCGAAGAGACGACTTGCTCAACATGAAAATCAAGAGTGCCAGATCTCCTTAGTCATACACACACATTCACAAACAAAACCCAACAAGTATGTGCGTGTGTGAGGGCGAGAGAGAGAGACGTTGCAGAGGAGACTGTGACAGAGGTTGCAGATAAGTGTTCGTATTGAACAGAATTTAAAACCTGATAGAGATGTTGACCCGCCAATACAAACTTGACCTGTCAATATGGGTAGCGTTCTATCCAATGGTATTTCTGACCAGCTACAGGATTATTTGGGGTTTTAAAAAAATCCAAAAAATCATATGATATGCAGGTGAGATACTCACTGTCTATGTCTCAACAACAGATTGACGTAAGGGGCCCCCTAGCAAAAAGTTTAATATTACAAGGTCCCTAGATTATAGTACGAGTAATGGGATGTTGATTAATCCTAAATTTAAAGAAAGTTTATGACAAGGTCCCTAGAAATATAGTATGGTGGATTATAAAAATAAATGAGTCATAAATAAATATATTGATACGATAAATCAAAGTATATGATGGAACCACATCCATAGTTGGACCACCTGTGAGAGCAACGTATAAACTCTCGATTACCCTGAGCTTAAATCAAATATCAATATTTAAGCCCGTATCTTTGTACCTTGTGGATAAACTAATAAAACAAATTTAAAATAAGGTTAATTGTACATAAAATTTGCTAATTATGTTGTTTTAATTGAAGAAACTAAAATAGAGACCTGAGCAAGCTCTAACAGGGTTAGGATAAGTAAGACAAACTAAATTTACAAAATATAAATTTATCAAAACTAGAAATACAAGTGAGGATCTAGTGAATATTGGGGAACAAGAAATACCAAAAGTTAATATTTTTATTACCTAGACTCAATTATTCGCAAAGGAGAAAGAAGATGGTGATGATGTTAATCAAAGAATTAAAACAAAACGAGTTAAATGGAGGAGTGCTTCTAACATATTGTAATCAATGTATACCTCTAAAATTAAAAGGCAAATGTTGTAACAATTACTATACTAATCATACTTTTGGAATGAAAGGAATCGTAGGTTACATGATGAGGGTTCTAGAAATCATATGGTTTTAGCTAAATGTATTATTTGGGATGTTATGGATGTCTTGGGGGTATGCCTCCAGGATATCATAGGATCTTGAATTCTTTTGATTTCTAGGGTTTGTTTTGGTGTATCCCTTTGTCTGTGGGATATTGTGAGGGTTCTCCTCATGTGTAATTGTACTTTTTCTTGATAAATTTATAAAATTTCCGTCATTTAGGGGGAAAAAAAAAAGAAGAGATTGGCTGGTTAAGAACATCATATTAATAAAAATGAATGTCGTTAAAATGCAAATGATGAGATGGAAATGTGGCGAGACAAGAAATGATAAGGATCATTGATTTAGACGTTTGACCATGTACAACAGAAACCAATCATTACACCTATAAGGAAGAGTGATATAGTCCACATTAAGAATAATGTAGAGGAAAAGACGAAAACTTACATGCGTTAAGATAGTAAGTAAAGATGTGATAGCACGTAATTTTATAGAGATTATTGCCTGGTTACACATAATTAATGTAGCCAATCCCGATTAGTTAGCAAACACATGGTTAAATTGAGAAATACAATTGCCTTGGTAAAGAGCATAACATTGTAGGAGAAAACATGAGACTATTAATACTTAGCTAGATAGGAAGTTAGATACGAATTCAGCCAATACAATCAGAAAATGTCCAAAAGGTTCATCCAAGCTGTTGAAGCAATAAGATATCAAAACATTTGAAAAAGACGGGCGCATATGATCATAACCAATGACTTTGTAATTTTATTAAAAAAGCAGCATAGCTAAGGATCAGGAAGCAATAGTTTCATAGAAATTTACTTGAAATATTTATGTTTAAATTTATTGAATTTTTTTATTATAAAATAACTCAATTATTAACATTTGTCTCAATCATTTGACATGAAAAATAAGTTTAATAAGAATATATGCATAACCTGACAATACTTAACATTTTATGGAACTTCATGGGGTTGTACAAGATATTGTTAGTTTACACTTTGGTCAGATAAACATATATGCTCTATCATAATCAAGATTTTATGTTAACTGATCAGCAAGATTAAAGACAAAACCACACTTCTAACACCTTTTTGTGCTTCAAGAAGTAATTTTAATGGTTAGATGTGAGAAGGGTGCAAGCTGCAATATCTTTTTCTTAAATAGAACCATAAACTAGGTCTATGGATAATGAGATCTGTAGGTGATCATAGATAATCCTCATGACACAATTGTAGGGTTAAATAACTGCTATATCCAACTGCTTGGGGGGAACTATGAGAATCCCTTTTGCCACCATTCTACTCTATCAGGACATGTCTTCGGTCAGAAGAGACCCTTAAATCTTCTCTCATCCTCAAACCACTACCCTTCTTGGCCTTCCTTTTCTCCTTTCAATGCCTTCGAGTTGTGTTTCTTCCACATGACCAAACCATCTTCAAACATTAATGTCTACCAGTCAAGCATCGAAGTCTAATTTCTAGAAAGAGGCTTCTGAGGCCCCAAATCCTTGACAGCCTGACCCTTGTACAAAAGACATTGTGTTTGTCTTGTCTAGATCACAATGGATTAGTGTGCACTTAAAATGTAGCACGACCTAGTTGATACAACACACATTAAAAAAATTACCTCATTTAGTTGATAATATTGACTGAGTTTCTGATATAGTATCAACGAAACTTCCTTGGTTCACCATGGCAAAACATGTCCATGTTTGCTTGGACAGTAAAATGCATACTTGTGTGAAGTGGTAAGAACATATTATACATGCTACAAACGAGTGTGTGCTTACTTATGCATGTTAAAAAGAGAAAGAGAGAGCAGCTCAACCTTGAAAAGTCGGTGGTAGGCTGCCCAAGGTAAGTGCTGCAAAATCAACTGAATCAATTTTGTATTTTGGGATCTGCTCAGCAATAATGGGCTCTGCTATAGTCTTTGCAGTCTTGCAAATTGCCTGATGACCTTAAAACATCAATACTCGACTCAAAACCAAGTACACTTTAAGAACACACATAGGCTAAGCATACCTTGTCCAAGTAAGGCCACATAGTTTCAATAAATTTGTTAAGCCAGTCGATCTGCATAAGAAGAGATCTATAAGAACTTTATTTCCAAAACCTACAATATGTATTCAGAACGGACATGCAATTGCATTAAAATCATTATATGACACGTACATGCATCTAGGACGGACATTCAATTTTGCAAGTAGATATTAAATAACTTAAATAAGTAATAGCATACACGGTCATAATCTGGATTCTTCACCCAAGGAGGTATCTCTGGAAGCAACCGCAGCAAGGTTTTTGCGTCTTGTTCAGCCAAAGGAATAATTACAGGATCCTGAACAAGTTAAAATTCAGAATAAATAAGAACAAACTCATATCACATAAGTGAGACCAACTCTATCAGATACTGAATCCAACACCTCAATCTTTTTTCTATAATCTTTTTTACATCTTTTACAAGACGAGACTGCAATATTTAAAAAAAAAAAAAAAAAAAACTTTTGGGTTCTATACATTGATTGCAGAGATTTTGACAACAGAAAAATAGTATATCTTGAAGGAAGTATCAGGAAAATTCAAATTAAACATATAGCACTGAAAGTATAGTATTGAAAAATTAAATAAAGAAAAACAAAAAACGCCCGATTACATACTTAAAGCACATTGAGCCCTTTACGAAAAAAAGTAGAAGATTGTGTCAATATAAAAGAGAATTATAGGGACACAACTGCACCATTTCTTTTTTCTTTTTTATGTAAGAGAATTATGGGGAACACAACTGCACCATATATATATATATATATATATATATATATATATATATATAGATATTATCTTCCTCTCTAATTTTTTCCCCTGTTTGAGGGGAAGAAGAGGTGCTGTTAAGTTCATTCATCATATAAGAGATCCTGCAGTCAAAATACACTGACAAAGCATAACACATTCAATTATCAGAAAATATACTACAGCTAATCTACCAACAATTGTCTGACATCATTTCCACACATTTTTAAAGTTTGTGAAACTAGGCTTTAAAAGGAATAAAAAGTTATCAGGATGCCAAATGGGACATACACAATTTCTAATAAGTTCCCTCACATGATTTGTATCCATCTGAAAGCACCCTAACACGAAGCAGATGACTGCAAATAAATTTATAAACAAAGACTACAAATGTATTCCAAATCCAAGTGCAATAATTACTTTAAGTGCCAAAAACAACAAACGACACCTAATGTTGGTAGATTTACAATTTACAATTCAGGTTTCAGAATCTTCAAATTCCAACATAACCTCACTGTTAGTGTGAGGCAATATTCAGAAAAAGAAAAAGAAAAAAAAGAAAAAAGAAAACGACTCAGTAAACAAAACCCATTATAAGAAAACATCCAATGTACCATCCAAGTTTCCAAATTGTCCACAAATTAGGCACTAAATTCTTGAGACTATAAATTTGCTGATCAAATTCTTTCTAGTCATGTTCAAAACAACATAATTACATAAGATACCACAATGTAATGTTTGCACCTAAATTAATATACTTTTTTAAGTTATCGCAGAGTTGTGAATAAATACAATCCACCGTATTAGCTAACCCGTGCAGTTATCTTTTGTTAAATAGCAATTTAAATCATAAATGAGATGAGATATATGCTCAGCATTTTCTTGTTTCTTGAATTCATAATGACCAAACCACAAAATAATAATAATAAATCAGCAAACACAACTGAGGGAAAAATAATAAAAAATAAAATGCAACAAACAAAACCACAATGAGCACCAAACAAGAACTGAATATGTACAAGATGCAGAGAAAAAAGGAATAGCAGAGAGAGAAACAGACCTTGACATCAGTGGGTTGGAAGTAGATGAACATAAAATACCCAATTACAAGCCCAATTGAGATTCCGACTCCAAATCCACAAAAACCCATTATAGTACTCACAATACCCATCTCTAATCTTCTTTCAGATCACCCGAACTCTCCACTACAATTCTCACAATAATTTAACTGAAAAAAAATAATAATAATAATGATATAAGAGAAAAATAACCCTTAAAATCTCAGTGTCTATTTGACTAACCCAAAAGAAGAACGAAATTAAAGTACACAAATCGCCAAATTTTTACACAGTAGTCTCATGAGATCAAATATTACCGTATGAAAATACACGGAAAAAGAAAACAAGGAGACCCAAAAGAACCAAGTCTCTTTGTTTGATATATGATATATATTTTGTATATAAGATATCACACTATCCTTATCGGCAAGGCAATAAAAGTGGCATTTATTCTTGGCCAGTCTTTGCGTTCATCGACCTACAGGTTGTCTGAATCGACAAACAACGGCTTTCAGAGGTAATTTCAAGCGCGTGAAATAAGGGTGTGTCGGTAACGTTTCTATTGCGTGTGGGCAGAAGGGGTAAATTCGTCAAAATTAGTAGAAATATCTTTTGAAAATCAATAATTAAATTTTAGACTAAAAAATGGATCTGGTAAGAGTTTTTTTAAAAGAAGGGAACACTGTATTATTTATAGTATTTTATGAGCCACCTAACCTTATCTTATGGTGGAGAAATAAGATCTACATTACCCTTTTAGTTTGAATATTTAAAAGCACCACTATGTTTTTTTTGTTCATTTAAAAGCACCACTATGTTTTTTTGTCTATATACTTAAACTTTGTTAGATGAATTCAAAGTGGATGTGTAATAAAATTTCTTAGTGTAATCCATAAATAATTGAGTGATGATATTGGGTGCACATGTCACATTATTGGTAGGTTCATTGTGAGTGTTTTTTTAAATGTTGACGGAATAATTAAATTTTTTGATTTAGTGTTGGGTGAACATTACTGAGAATCTTGTAATATAATGATATCTCATATATTTTTCAAAGTAAAAGGTGATCATTCAAGTCCCTAAATGGTAAAGTGGGTGTGTAAGCGTATTGGTATTACATTGAGTGTGTATTTAATACTTCCTCAGTCCCAAAATAAGTGGTTCATTTGATAAGTTAATGTAGTTTAATTTTTTATATTGAACCTATAAAAAGTAAATTATTACATGACAAATTTAGTAATTTATTCACTGTTATAAAATAATAATAATTTTTTAAAAAAATTAATTTTAAAAAAGAGACACTTATTTTTATTTTGAAACGGAAGAAGTATTATTTGGAGTACTTAATTGTTCATAATAAAGAGAGTTGAATATTAAAGTCCAATTTTTTATTTTTCCTTCTCATTGCTTTGTTTAGGGAGTTTCTTCATTCTTGCCGTGTGTTGTACCATTTGTATCCTTTCCTTTTTTGTCAAATGATATTATATTTTAAAGTCTTATTTTCTGCATTCTTTACACTCTCACTTTCCTAACATTGTCATTGACAATATTTCAATATGTTCACACAATGTAATGCAAGCACATTATGATAAACTAATCATGATCACACTGAAGGAACAAAAGAAGAGGCAAATATTGATTGACACTTTTGCAGTTCATATATATTCTTTGCTTTGGCCTACAAGTGTTGTACCTCCATAATACGTTTTGATAAAATAAAAAATTAAAAATTAAAAGAAAAAGAGTAAATTACACTAACCTCCCAAAAGGTATTGCCAATACTCAGCTCGCTTTTTGTTTATACAAATATGTATTGTGTATTTTATTACAATAAACATGTCTTTCAAATATATAATTATAATTTAAAATTTATAAAATTGCTCACATCGACATATCATTAATGAAGGGGAGATGTGTATTATTTACCTACAAATCTCAAAAGATGCAAGTGTAATTTGGTAAATAAAGGATGTAAATTAGTGATGTAATCTCATGAAAAGTCACTATAATTTATTCATTAGTGTGAATATACTTTTAAGTACGTCTAACCACCCAAGTTTGAGTGAGATTCATATAACCGATTCAGTAATTGAAAAAAAAAATTTTGATTGTTTTATTGTTGCTGCTGGCTAGTTATACACTAAGTCACATAAAACGATAGCGAGAACGAGAGTGAATTTAAAAGTAGGAGCGAAAGTGCAAAATTGACAAAATAAAATTGTGCATAGTGAGAATAAGAGAAAGAGCGAGAACAGCAACTCACTCGAAGCGTAAGAATAACACCTGCTGCTACAAGGAAGATTTATGTAACCTTTCGAAGAAAAAAAAAAAAGAGATTTATGTGCCTTGGGTTACACAAGCTTAGGCCAAAGTTTGTAACCAAATAACTTGCTTCTTTGTAGCTTGGTGAATCGTATGTCTACTTAGTGGGGGGACTATATGTATACATATATACAATATATACATATATAGCTCAGCAGAAGACAAGTTAACTTTTTGATAAATCTTCTTTTGAGAAAAAAGAGAGAGGTGGGGAATGGTACAGGAGGGTAGACAATCCCTCTACTTCTTCTGTTCATGTGATACTTGATGGATAGAGATCAGTTATCATTTCAGTTTTTGTGGTCAGTGTTCTAAACTTTTGTGAAAGCAACTTTTTTTTTGCCTCTAATAAGTCAGGAGATAAGAGAGAAAGGAATTGACAGCTTCGTTTGGAAGCAAAAACAAAAGACGGTTATCAGAGAAAAAAGAAAGTAGAAAAGAAAAAGAAAAAGAAAAATGAAGAAGAAGAAGATACTTATAGTGTTAATTATTCCACATGTTTGGATAATTAACACTAAATCAGGATTTTTTTTATAAAAAAAAAAATTGAAAAAGTAAAAGAAAAGGAGGGATAACTCAAATATTTTTTAATTAATTAAAAAATGAGAAAGTAAAAGAATGATATTATAAACCTTTTAGTGAATTTTCCTATCTTCAAAAGTTGGTAGAAAATAATACTACCTGGGAGAGTTTAGTTGTGAGTTTTGTGACCAGTGTTTTTCCTCTTATACGTATTTTTATCCATACAATTTGCTTAATTTTTTGACAAAAAAATCTTCGATCTTATTCTTTTTTCTTTCAAATTTTAAAGCTTGAAAATATAAAATATAAAATAGAAAATATATCTTATTAATGGATATGCGAGTTCTTGATATTCAATTTTTTATAATTATATCAATACTCACACGCTCACTTTGCCTCTTTGAAGACTTGAACTATCACCATTTACTTTTTGGGAGGTAGATGAGATACGACTAAGTCACAAACACTTGGTTACCACATTTGAATAAACTAGTAAAACTGCGTGAGTAAAATCTAATTCAAAATCAATCTTTAACAAAGTAATAAAATAATAATTTTAAATACTAAAATATTCATTAACATAAAATTTATACAAGGTAAAAGAGATAATAATAATAATTTTTAATTGGACTTTATAATATGAATTCAATTACTGATCGATTTACTTTCAAACTAAATAGGTAATTTGTGTTAGAAACTATTTAAATTTTTTTTTTTTTTACATTAATTAATAAATATCGTTTATATTTTTAAATAAATACTGAAATAGATTTCCTTTTAATAAATAGGTAATTTGAGTTTTATAGAAACTCTAAGTACCTTATATTAATTTAAAAATAAAAACTCATAATAAATAGGTAATTTGTGTTAGAGTTTTATAGAAACTCTTTTAAATAAATATTGTTTATATTACTAAATAAATACTGAAATGAAATTTCTTTTTAAATATTATTTATATTATAAAATAAAAACTCATAATAAATAGGTAATTTGTGAATGCATGGATGCTTTGCTTTCATAGTTTTTTGAATTTTTTGGATGAAAAAATTATATGATTTAATAAGAATAATCTGATATTTTAAAGCAATAATTTTGTGAGTATTTTGGACATTAACAATGATTCTTGATGCATATGTAATTATTTTGTTTAATTCAATCAAAGTGAAAAATAAAGTTTTAAAATTGACTAATTTATACTTTTATGTAAAAAGTATAAATTGGTTATGTATTAAATTATGGGAATAATTTATGAAGAATTCCATTATTTTTTTTTAATAGGAATTCAATTATTAAAATTTTAATAGGAATTCATTATTAACTTTTTATATATTTCCTTGTCTAATTAGAGAAACTAAATTATTTAATGTCTTTATATAATTCCTTGTCTAATTAGATTTCCTTTTATTAAAAAAAACTCATAAAAAATACGTGGTTTTAGTTTTATAGAAATCTTATATTAATTTTAAAAATAAAAAATCATAATAAATAGGTAATTTGTGTTAGAGTTTTATAGAAACCTTTTTTATATTAATTAATAAATATTTTTATATTTTTGAATGCACCAAAAATAAATAAAATAAAATAAAATGGTAAAAAATTCAAAAATTTTACATACCAACAAGACTCAAAACAATAAATTAAGATTGAACCAAAAATAATAATAAAAAAAACTGAAAAATAAAAAATTAACATATAAAAAAAATTTAGCAACAAATTCAATTCAAAATCAAGTTCAACCCAAACTCAAAAAACATTGAAACACGACTCAAAATATTCAATTGAGAATGAACCAAAAATAAAAACTAAAAACTAGAGAAAAAAATTACTATCTAAAGTAAACTTACAAAGAGAAGAATAAAAATAAAAACTAAAGAAAAAAATTAATAAATTGAGAATGAACCAATTTTTATAGAAACTCTTATTATTTTTGTTTTCTGTAACCATGTTTTAGAGTTTATAGAAACTGTTACTTTTATTTTTATTAGATTTTATTTATTAAAAAACAGGCCCGATAAATAAAAAACTATTATTTTATGGAGTCTATGTGGCTACCCATGTGTCAAATATAATGAGACCCATTTTAAAATATAAGGTAATTTTTTCCCCCCTACGTTGTAATCTTTTTTCTAAGTTTATCTTAATTATCTAAGTTTATCTTAATTTAGTATCTTTGTTGACAATTCAAGTTTCAACCACCATGTACATATATATTTATTTTATATTCCAAATAATTGCATCTCTAAAAGGACCACTAAGATACTCTAGATCGTATTTAACGATCTATCTAACTCTCAAACACAAGAAAAAATAGGAGAAATTTTTTAAATTTTTTTTGCGAAAGCACGAAAAAAATTATAAAACATTGCAGTTTTTGCTCTAGATTTTGTACAAATCAAATTATTAAATTTGAGTACAATGAAACTTATGTGAAAAATAAAAAAGAAGATGATATGTCTATGGATAACTAAAAAGATAAGGATATGGGCTATAAAAAACTAAAAAGATAAGAAAATGGAAATAGAGTATTTTATGAAATAAATAATAGTAGTAATGATACATATTTAAGTTAAAATTTTGAATAATCACATGTCTGTCGATTTTAAGTCGGGATATTAAAGTCGTCAAAAATATCATTTCCCTTAAAAAAAAACCTCATATTAT